AAATTACAGCTTTGCAAATGATGCTTGAAAATCGGTTCAGGAAATTTTCATTTATCCACGGTCAGAAATATCTTTAAAATCTGTGTATAGTCTGACTTCAAGAATATATATTTATTTGCAGTAATAAATTTTTTCATAGCGGTGATTTTAAGTTCGGATATATTTCAGTCAAACTGCACACAAAGTTATAATAATAATAATAATAAAGTAATAATCGACTTTAAAGGTTGTCCTTCAACAATGAAATTGACTATAAACATTTGTAGAATGAGTCACATTAAAGCAACCACCTTAAGTATTTCTTTAGTTCTTTTCTTTCTTGTTTCATCTGTCTGTAGCTTATTATTATTAAAGTGAAACCTGTTTTGTTGCTCATATAAATTCGCAATGTAGTCATATATAGATATGATGAATCATAACATTGCCGTTCAGTTTTTTGTGCAAAAACTTAAACCTCATGGGATTGTATTGTCATATGCAACCTTTATTCAATACACGCCCTTTTCGTCGACAGCTCTTTCTTGTTTTCTTTTGTCTTAATCAGCTTAAATCTAGTCACATATTGTGCCTAACTAGTCACTTTCTAATTGACATCATCACGTCATTTAGCAACTGTAACAATTTGTATATTATCATCATTTACGAATATCGTGTATGTAGCGGATGAGACATAATATCGCGTGAATTCTTCTTAACTACTCGTTCTGTTAATTAATCTCATTGCTCATATTCGCACAATTCACAGATACAATGACATAGTCAGTATTTTTTCAATCACGAAATTATTTCTGTGTCAGTAATGAAGACAGAAAGTCTCTTTTTCGACATAATAACATGATTTAGCTAAGTAAGCTTCTTATTCAAAACTTTATGTTCCATTATACTTTCACGCATAATCAGATTGAATTTTTTTTCAATAGCTTAATGTGCATATGTGGAAAGAAATGTAAGCTAATCCATCGATCAATGTTACTTTTGATGTTGTGGTCGATGCATCTGCCTATAATCGGCAGATTTAAATACAATAGAAAAACGTTTATGATGATGCGATCGTCGATGATGCCAGCATCACTATGTAATTGATGATAAATCTTTATTCGCCACAAAAAAAATAATCTTTATTCATCTACATATAAGTATTTATTAATAGTCCACGATGAGCAATACATATGAGCAAATAGAAAGAAGTAAAACGATGAAACTAGTCATACAGAAACAAACATTTTATTTAACGAGTTGAGTTTGTAAATCAATTGTTAAAAAATCGAAAGTTTTTCTTTCTTTTTTGCGGGTCGATAAACGCTACTTTATTTTTTTGGTGGTCTGTGTTCATTTTGTAATCAAAAACAACCCGCAGTTACTCTAATATACAAAACAACATAAAAACAGATTTATTATTTTTGTGTTTTAAAGCTTTGCTTAACTTAATTTCGGTACGGTAATTTAAAAATAATAATAAAGAGAGAAAATTGCGTAAATTTTATGAATGAACGTTAATTGAGTAGCCACAATGCTGAATAAAGAAAATTGACCTTCAAATCTGTAGAAAATAAATTGATTATGCTGATGCTTCTTTGTATTTTATTGATAGTTCTATAGCAGTGTCTGTTGAACTATTTTTTGGGTCCGTGGCACATGTAGTTGTTGGTTTAAAATTGTCTTGCGGGAAAAAGGGCCAAATTACTTACCAGAGCTAGATCCCGAGGTTGAACAAGCTATCAGCCTTCTGGAAGACATATATTCTAAGTATTGGTGAACTAAGATTCATCTTATTACTAATGCGTACCTAGCATCTACTCTGAGAAAACCTAATGATGATAAACTTTTGGTATAGGCTGAAAAATGTTTAAAACGCTCAGGAAAATGTCTTAAAGTTTTAATCTACAAGAACTAAAAACAACTTCCAGTTTCAAAAGTCTTACGATCCATCAAGCTACCGAGCTGCCGAGAAACAGTTTAGAATACACTCTTTTAAAGAATGCTGCGCATCGCTATTTCTTTTTTAAAGATTTAAGCTCATAGTTCATAGTCATCAATTTAATACTGTAAATTCAGCATCCCACTGTTTATTTAAAAAATACAAACGCGATGCCTTTATAGATAAAAATCAAAGACGGATGGAAGCAATTAAACGAAGAAAGAGAAATCAAATCAAGAGACAAAATTGACCGCGACCTTTATTCGAAGTACTGACTTGTCATTGATGTCTTGTGCTGTAATTGTTCGTTTTTCTTATAACTTATTACACTTGCCTTGCATAGATGCCATTCCCACACAATGAATAGATAGAACAATGAATACGAATTGTGTAATCATACAGCAAAAATATTGTACGTTTTTTTTGTTCGATTCCAATGCAAATGATGTGATTCTTCTTATCTTTATGTGATTCCGTTTCACATTTTTCTTCTTTACCCTTCCGCAATTTATTTCATCTCTTATTTTTCATTTCCATCTTTACATTACAAACGATTATGTGATTTGATTTATTCTTTTTTCATGGCCTAACACAGCATAACATAAAAATTATTGAGATAGATTGATGTTTCACAATATCTCATCGATAAATTGTCTTGAATTACACATTAAATTATTGGTAGGCACAAGGTTCAATTAGTATAGTTGCCAGATTTCTACAGCACTTGAGAACATATCAAACACAATCGTGATATTGTGCGAAAAGAAGCTTCAGATGGTTTTCATTATGTAAATCCAGAAATAATTGATTAACGGCTCTCTTTTGTAAATGCTCGCGTTGAAATGGAAATGATAATGAATTAATGAGAGACGTCAAGTCATGTTTTTTTTGCGCTTAGCTTAGTGTGGAATAAGATTTTCATTTCATATAATTGCAGTTTCAAGCGGAAAGTGATTTAAATTATAAAGCTGTATTTGTTTAATTCTCTTAGATCTGATCCACATTGACTGCATTATCTTCTTCTTAACAGTGTAGCTTTGTGTGATATGGGCTGTTTGAGCATTTTGTCTTGCTACACTGAAGATCAGTGCTGTAGCATCTGTACTGAACATTTACAAGCTACAGCTACTTAAGGTATTACTTGTTTGTAGACTCAAAACTGCGCTTTCAAACCAAATTCAGACAGTCATTCCGTACCATTCTCTTTATTCATTCATGACTTTTTTTTCATAATTTGAATTTAAAATTTTTTCTACATTATGCGAATATCTCTTTGTGTCAATTGTTTACGCTTCTATACTCATTGCAATGCACTTTCTCTCTGTGAAGATTTTTCATTTTAATTAAATCTTTTTATATTATTTTTAAAAAGCATGCAATCAATTTTATGTCTTGATAACAGACAAACATGAGAAAAATGTATAGCATATCATGTGAAATATGAGAAGGCTGATTTAATATGACAAAAAATGTAAATAACAGACTGTGTGAGGATGATAAATTTCATCAAATTTTTTAATTAAAAATAATCTTCTATCTCACTCTCTGTTTTGCTAATGACCTCACGAATATCCAGCAGATGGCTTCTGCAATATTATTTATGATAAACAGCATTTAATCTTTGATCTTAATATTTTCTCTTTTGTTATTAAAATGAAGGAATTTTGATGAAATGAAATGGGTTAATTGAATGTCGTTTATTCAAATCTGACGATTAAATTCACGCATTCACTCTTTACTAGAATTGTATTCTGAGCTGTAATAATTAAACCACTAAATTGCACATTATTATTATGTGGCTGATTCATGAAATTTGTGTTTGTAAGACAATTAAAATGTTTTGAAACTTATTCAGACTCATTTTTGAAATTGACTGCTTAATTATAGCCACTAATTTGCAATCTTAATTGATCAACTTTTAATTCATTCTTTTCGACCGAAGTGAAAGGCTTGCGACAGGATAGAGATTGTATTTTTACATTCCTTACAGTTTAAATGAAAATAGCCATAAAATGTTTTGATAAATCGAATCGAAAATTTCTAATATTTCCACGTACTTATAATTATAAAGCTGTTGACGATAGTTCAGATCAATAAACTGAGTCAGAGTGGTTAGCTTAGTACATTATATATTTTGATGTTTAAATATCTTTTATGGACCACACATATAGACTGTTCAGTGATCATTTGTATCCTCAACTCTTAATATTATTTAAATTCCCATAATGACTCAGAATTTCCGGAAGATTGTATGACATACTCAATATTTGAACAGTTGTTCATGTGATTGAGTAATTATATACTCGATGAAGTTAGCGACCGTCTACTTATTACAAATTAATGACTTTAAGGAACTTTGTTTTAATTATCTAAGAAACTAAGTGCTCGATTAACAACTCTGGCTACAGCTTTATAATAAAAGACCTCCCTGGTCTTCAAGTTCAATATTTGTCGAGGAGAAACTTTATTCATAAAATCGAGACTATCGTCAGATTGTTGTAACCATCAACTTTTATTAATCAACATAATACTTTCTATCATCAACCTAAATCCAAACCTCAAAAATCCCTTTCCAAATTTTTTTTTTGTCAACGGCAATTTCAGCTAAAAGCTTGAAAACATTAATCCCTAAAATGACATCTCTTCATTCTTTTTTTAACATCAGAGAATTAATACTCAAATTCCACTATGTAACAACAACAATAATCTAGTTGCTGCCACTGACGATAATGACTTTACTAATCTTGTCAGTAAATTTTCGGAATGAAAAATCTGTATAATTTTTCTAGCTAGTAAATCCGAAGATTAGTCTACTTTACACACTAACGATCCATTCATTATTCAGTCTATAGCTGAAAGCAGTTTTGTTCAAATGTATTATTGCGGTCTAATCCTTCTCTTCACACCGTGGTCAACAGTTTGAACAATACTGATTCAGACGTGAAAAATAGATTAAGGAAATGAAGACACAATTAGCTCATTTGTTGATAACATGATGATATGTCAAAATGACTCTTATAAATAAAGTTAACTAATCTTTTCAATTTCTCTCTCTCTCCCTTTCTTTCACTACAATTCCCAGACAGGAATAAAGATCATCAATCATCTACAAGATAGTATCAAAACCCCCACACATACACACACATAAAAATATATACATAGTCTTTTTTTTGAAAAAAGCATCATGAGTTAAATGATCTCAACAAATAATAAAGTAAAGAAAGCGAAAAAGAAGAAACTCTCTATTTAATCCACTACTTCATTATTACATTACTACTTGATAAATTGCGTTAATTGAAAATAAATTAGAGATTCGACGGCGTGGCAACATAAAGTCGAGAATTCCATGCAAAAATTTGTATTGTGTCTTTTGTATGTTTTGTACATGTCGAGATAATATCTATAAGGAATTGAAAGTATTAAGAAAATCCACCAAGAAGATATTATTATATTAATAATAGCATCTATTGATGATATAGAGAATAGAAAGGAGTTTTCATGCATTTTAATTGCATTAACATATCTCATCTGGTGTGTCTAAATAGATTTTAGAGCTCAACCACGCAGGGGCCCAAGAAAATTGTTAGATTTTCTTACCTCTCGATATTTTACTTTAAACGAAAGTTCGAAGATAATAATAACGATAGTAGAGAAGAAATGACTTTAAGCACATCAGAATCGGAGACAACAACACATGTCATAAATAATAATAATAACAATAATTCGATAGGTAAAGGGCTTGATACTGAGAATTTACCGTCATCTGAATTAAGTTTGCTGGCCAAACTGGAAGCAGCTAATAAACTCATTGAGAGTGACTCTAAGTCACTCAACTCATTGCAATCATCGGCACATAGTCGAAAAAGTTCTGATACTAGTCAAATTAGTTTAAATTCTGGATCGTCATCGGTGGGCGAAGAGGATATTTGGTCAATATGGGCTACCATAGTGACCGATTGGGATACAGCCCAAAAGCGAAAAAGTCCATCTGTAAAGGAACTTGTACGCAAGGGAATTCCACATCATTTTCGTGCTATTGTATGGCAACTCTTATGTAATGCAAGTGATACCGATAAGAAACAGTATGCTGAGTATATAAAAGCAACATCAGCGTGCGAACGTGTGATACGACGTGACATCGCTCGAACATATCCAGAACATGATTTCTTTAAGGAGAAAGATGGATTGGGACAAGAAGCTTTATTTAATGTGATGAAAGCTTATTCACTGCATGATCGAGAAGTCGGATACTGTCAAGGATCGGGTTTTATTGTTGGATTATTATTAATGCAAATGCCAGAAGAAGAAGCTTTTGCTGTTCTCGTACAGATTATGAAGGAACATCGAATGAGGGATATGTTCAAACCATCAATGTATGAAGCTTAATGATAAAAGTTTATGTCCACTTTTATTAATTTTTCATATTTATTGCTTCATCGACAGGGCTGAATTAGGGTTGTGTATGTATCAACTGGAAAATTTGGTGCAAGAACAGCTGCCAGAACTCCATTTGCATTTTCAATCACAGGTAAATGTCTCGTTTAAAAATAGAAACTAATTAAATATTCATGCTATCACACAATATTCTACAATTCACAGGGTTTTCAAACATCAATGTATGCTTCAAGCTGGTTCCTCACACTTTATACGACTGCTTTAAACCTCAATCTCATATGCTGTCGCATTATGGATGTATTTTTAAGTGAAGGAATGGAAGTTATATTCAAACTTGCACTTGCTCTACTTACAATTGGCAAAGAGACATTGCTTTCGTTAGATATGGAGGCGATGTTGAAATATTTCCAAAAAGAATTACCACAAAAAGTTGAGAGTGATGTAGAGGGGATGTTCAATTTAGCATATTCTATTAAAATTAACACAAAACGTATGAAGAAAATGGAAAAGGATTATGCAGAGTTGAGAAAAAAAGAGCAAGAAGAGATGGTTGAATTAAGAGTAAGTGACACACCAATACACCAAGCCATGCAAAATTAATTTTCATGAACAATTAAAATTTAATCTGAATAGCGATTACGAAATGAAAACCGTTTACTGAAAAAGCGAAATGAATTGTTGGAAGCCGAGAGTACTGAATTAGCCAATAGACTTGTACGAGGTCAAGTTTCACGTGCAGAAGAAGAGGAAACGAAGTAATTAAACTTATTTAATTAATAATTACATTTTCTTACTAATCTAGCCAATTTTTCCAGCTATGCAATTCAATCAGAACTGCTGGCACTACGACGAGCACATTTGGAAATATCGCATCAGCTTGAGACGGCAAATGAGGAAGTTCGTGCATTGTCATTAAGGCTGCAAGAAAATGTAAGTCAAAAATTTTAAACTTAATTAAGTTAACTTAATTGTGATTAACTCTAAAAGAGGTTGTGGTGAATTTTCAACGTACACAGACACTTAAAAATATAAATATTAATATAATCACATACATGCTAAGTATTTTACAGCTCCAAGTAGAATTTCACTAACTTTATGGACGAGGCTTTTATTGCTTTTAATAAAATTCAATTATTTTTCTTTTAATAGTGAAAATGTCACGATATTTTAGCACTTTTGACTTATGTATAATAATTCTAGATATTAATTAAAATTGACAAATGCTCTATTTATCCATAAACTTGTCATGTTGGATTTAACAAATTGATTCTTTTTGCAAATCGTAAAGGGAAATGATTCTGCAGAAGAAAACTTTTATGGTGATATGTCATTCGTTGCAGATGGATGTAGAGTCAGGGGTGGATATGAAATTTTTATTCCCAAAGACCCAGGAGATGCCATGGAGGTTTTGGGGTACACATACCTTTCTTAAAAGGCATGCCATTATCTATGGGCGTAGAAAAGATCTCCTCAAGATTCATATAAGCATTTCAAAACCTCCTTTTGAGAAGTCAGACACCCGAACCTTCAATTTAAAAAATTCTAGCTACACCCCTTCCATCATCTGATTATTATGCTTTAGTTCTTTACATCTTAGCCCATAAAAAATTTCTCAATTTTATTACACAAAAATTTCTGCTTAGTTCTTTAATTTCCTTTTTACGGGTTGTAAAATCCAATTTTTTAAATCCACATGATTAAAGTCTTAAATTGCCAATAACTCTCCCAAAAACACATGCCTCCTCCATTCACAATTCAACTCACAAAAATCTCTCTCATCTCAGTTCTTTAATTTTACGCTAAATCTCTATTCTTTAGCAGCAATCACAGCAAGATACTTCAATAGATTCTGTAAGTTTAAAAAGGATTAATTGTTGAGAACTTAACAAATATTGATTTTTCGTATTTGATGAAATAACTAACAATGCATGCACCCATCACTTTGTAGTACAATAGTAGTATTATTATTAATTTTATTTGTAGTGTTATTGTTAAATTAATAAATTTGTGACAAATTCAATTTTACGCATTAACATCATTTGAATTAATTTGACCTCCTTTCCATTTTTTATTCTCTCGCCCTTTCTTATTGACACGACCAACAATTAATGTCTACAGAATAATTCACGACAGAACTCAATTGATGAATTGATACATAAAGAGGAGGCGCTTAAAGAACGTGATGAAATGGTGAGCTGCTTATTGGAAGAACTTGTAAAAGTTCGTCAAGGCTCGGCTGAGAATGAAGATGTCATTCGAAATCTTAAAACGAAAATTCAAGAACTTGAAGAAGATAAGAAGCGATTGCGTGAAACGACAACGGATAATTCAGTAGCACATTTACAAGATGAACTTATTGCCAGTAAATTACGCGAAGCTGAAGCAAGTTTATCACTTAAGGATTTAAAGCAACGTGTGATGGAATTAAGTACTCAATGGCAACGACAATTACAAGAGAATAGAAATGACGCACAACAGCACCCTGAATCAACGCCTAAGAAGCTTTTTGGATTACTTGAAGCAACATCCGGAAAATCACATGAGCATCAGAAATTAGAGGAAGAACTTATGACAACAAGAATTCGCGAAATGGAAACATTGACAGAACTTAAAGAGCTTCGATTGCGAGTCATGGAGCTTGAGACGCAAGTTCAAGTTTCTACAAATCAATTGAGACGGCAAGATGAAGAACATAAAAAAGTGAAAGAGGAACTTGATGAAGCCGTTGTTCGTGAGAAAGATTTGTCAAACAAAGCTCGAGAGCAGCAGCATCGGTATGTGCTAACAGTTGTTGCTTAATTCTCAAATGGCGTCTGTCCTCATAAGAATCTAGCTAATTCTTTACTTACTTCTGTCCATTTTACAGATATTCAGATCTTGAATCTCGAATGAAAGATGAGCTTATGAATGTCAAAATCAAGTTCACTGAACAAAGTGCTCGCCTAGCAGAACTGAAGCAAGAAGTTTCGAGATTGGAAACAAAGGTAATGAAAATAGGTTTAATAACTTTTAAAATCGCATTTATTAATTGCTTATTCTTGTGTGCCTTTTTAGAACTCCGAAATGCAAGCCGAAGGTGAACTTCGATCAAACTTAGAAGAATCAGATAAAGTTCGTGATCTACAAGATAAGGTTGAAGATTTAAAGGCTGAGGTGAGTTCGGAATAAAGCTTATATATGATGAAAACTAATCGTTCATCCATTCATTGATTCCATTAATTAATTAACACATAACATCACATTTGATAATTGCTTTGACTCACATAAAAAAAAAACAGAATTGGAAATTGTATCATACACACATACACGTTAAATTACTGCTATATATAAATATATATTTTTTTGTAATTTGATCAACCGTGGAAGGAACATTAAATTGGTCAGGAAAGAATAAAAATTGGACGAATTAAAGACAATGACATGGACATTAACGAACGATTTCTTTGTATAAAAAATTCCAACTGACTTAGAACTGCTGTAGATTATTTAATTTACTTATATTAATCACCTTTATAACAAAAAAAAACAATAGATTTGTAATTTGACGCTGTTTTCTTTAATTTCTTGCTAAATTTAACAGTATCCGACGCCTATAACGAGCCCTGACACTGAGCCATGGAAGTGGATAAGCTAAATTAATCACTGAACCTTTCGTTTGCACAAAATAATAAAAAAAAAAAAAAATTATTCACAATTATGATAAATTAATGATCCGTAAATGCACAACTTAATTAAATACTTTTTAATTTCTTTGGATTGATTTCTTCGTACTAATTATTAAAAATATATGCGATAGGTCATCAAATAATTTTAACCAAATGATTAAGAAGAACATGTAGGAATTAATAGAAATGAGAAGAAATTTTAAATGTCTTCATTAACATTTTTCAAAAAAAAAATACATTTTAACCCACCAACGAAGATGTTGAAACTGTAGAATAGATGAAGAATCTGTCATAAATTATTTAACTTAATAGAATAATAGAATAAAATCATCGCACGTATCTTAATCACTAATCGAGAGAATAGTCTTAAAAAGGTTAATAATTTTTATATGTACACTTAATTCTTTGTGTTATTGATAGGACGGCTTATTGATGCATGCATTTTAGACATTTTGGTAGAATTAGCTTATCGATGTTGCTTGCTTACGTTGTGAGCATTGTATATCTTAGCCATTTATGTTTTGTTGTAGTCACGTTGTTGTTTTTTTTTGTAGATTTTTTATACATCAAGGGGTGTGCAAATATGTTTTTTCTTCAAAATTGGCCTTACTTTTACATTTATATGAAAACCCCATTAATATCTGTTACTTATAACTTAGCCTAGCATTTTTATCTTCGTTCATTATCTTTCAGAACAAAGCCTGAATTTCAATCATTATCGAATATTTCAGTTCATGGCTTCTTTTTTTAATTAGACCACTGAATCATTTTCATATGTATTTTTTTATTACTCATATTTCCTTTAATATCTAGTGCATGATCATGACAGCTACTGTTATTTTTGTCCATATTAAAATTTGCTTACTCTTTTACGGAACTCAAGCTTTGAAAATTGCTGACTTAAATCATGATAATTACTCTGCTTCTATTGTTTTTATAATTGCTTATTTCTAAGCAGCAAGGTAAAGTGCTTCAAAGTTGATGCAAAATTACTGTCTTTGTGTCATTCTTGACATCTAAATTGATCAAGTTATAAACTTTTTTGAAGCTGATGAAAAATCCCCAAAATTAATTGCATCTTGCTTATTGCTTGCCTTAAACTACCAAACAAGTTAGGTTAGATATCAATCAGCTGTACCTTTGACAGTCAACGGAGGAAGAAGTCCAATGAGAATAAGACAGTTCCATTAATTGAAGAATCCTTTATAAATAGAACTTCTAGAAGTTTCTGTAAAACTTAGAGGAACTGCAAGCTAATGCAGTTAGTAAATAGAATAAGTCACGATTTACAGCCAGCATTATTCAAAATGACGTCAATCCCCAAAAATCCCATTTAACATTATTTGTTTCTAATTTAACAAAAATGAATGATAACAGCATGATTAATTATTTTATTTACATTTTATAGCTTAATAGAAGTAATTTTAATCCTCAAATGAAACTAATTTTCTATAATTTTTTCTTTCTTCCCATCCCACAATATTTAATGAAATAAAAAACCTTATTTGTTTGTGTATGAATTATGTTATAATTGGATCTATCAAAATGAAACTTCTATAGTTAGCAGCTGTGAGGAGTCGAGGAAATTTCAACCATAATGATATAAAATTCAATAATAAAGAATCTTTAGATGATGATGATGACATTTGTGAAAATGAGATTGAGAAGATTTAAAGAAGTTTGATTGAAACCCGAGTAGCACCAACAACAACAACTGGTTTTACGTCGACGTCAAGGCACCATCAAGTAGAAAAAAGCACGTCACGCCGCAAATTTACCGTTGTGGCAACGCTAAGGCATCTACACGCACGATTTCGCCCCATTTGAACAATGAAATAATGGGGCGAAATCGTGCGTGAAGAAGCCTTAGCGTTGCCACAACGGTAAATTTGCGGCGTGACGTGCTTTTTTCTACTTGATGGTGCCTTGACGTCGACGTAAAACCAGTTGTTGTTGTTGGTGCTACTCGGGAAAGTTGTTTATTTAAAAATGATGGAAATGACATTACAATAACTTGATGACGAAGAGAAATGTTTTAATAAATGTAGACGAAAACCGTCAAAATTTGATGTTGTTTATTAATTTTAATAAAAGTAACTCCATAATGGCTTTTCAGACATTTGCATGGCAGCTAATTTACCCTCATTAAACATTCCAGCATCAACAAGGAATTTTGAACGTGGAAGTTCTGGATTTTTCATCAAATATTCTACAAGCTGACGAGTTGAGCTAAGATGTAGAATAGCATCGAAAACTGACTTCAGTGACTGTAAGTCTTCTGGACAATTGACATGATAATGATCATCAAATAGTTCTTCATTGAATTTATCAACTCTTATAGATTTTGGCAAACACCGACCAAATGCAACAGTATTGACTTTTCGAGCACGCATCTTCTTATCACAGTGAATCATCTTCTTCAAATTGTTTTGGATTGAAAGCTGCAAAATTTAAATTCATAACTTTTTGAACACAAAATTTAACTTACAGTTAAGAACATCAACAACCAGACATTATTGCTAAGCTCTTACCTTCTTTAAATTCAACATCTTTGCAACTTCATGAGAAATGACAGATATTTCCTTCGGTTCAACATGAAGAGCCTTCGATGCATCAGCCTCGACTTGAATGGCAAACAGTTGCTTAACAAATTCTTTGTTTATGTTTGACTCATCATCCATTTGCTTAAGCCAAACTGCGAAATGATCAGCTGCAATATCAATAAGCTCTTCTGTCTGCTCAAACAGTGGCTTTTCATAAATTTCTTGGTTGTCTTTGAATAATTTTGTTTGCCAAACAATTCGTTCACGCTTCATCTTTTTGGTGTAGTCAGCAATCCAATTAATATCTTGGTGAAAAAAATCTCGACGTTCTGGAATCCTACCTTCAATTTTAAGATCGATAGATTTAGCTTTTTGATAATTTTCGATGGCATCAGCAAAATTGTCTTCATTTACGTCATCGCCAAGATTATCAAGCATTTCCTGATCTAGATCTTGAAGCAGTTCTCGAAAATTTGGCTTTTTCTTCTCCTCAAATGGTTCATTTTTTGGAAATGGTAATTGAAATAGTTTTGAGAGTCTATCATGTAAATCCGGTGGAATGCACTGAGAAAAGTCTGCTGCCTTTTCCTTCACTTTTTGATTTTTCTTAATTTTCACTGATTTTTTATCCATTTTTACTACGAAATTTGTTTGACAATGAAAATTAAAATAAATACAAACAAATTTTTTTCAAGGCTTCTTAAATTTATTTGATTTCTATGGAAACACATTTTTGAAATTCACCACAAAAATCACGTTTTGTGGTGAGTTTCAATGCACAACGATTCATTTTCCAAAATAGTTTCAGCATAATTTCAAACAAAAATCTCATGCAGCAAATACAAATAAATTAAGTACCTGTTTTAATTAAGTCATAAAATAATCTCCTATTAGAAACAAATAATCAGGTAGAAGAATTAAAATTTTAACAAAAAGGGAACCTAAATTTGTCAACAGCATCATTCTTTTGAGAGTATCAACAACATCAAGTTGAGTTATTTTAAATTAAAAGTAAAAAATCGCTGAAAAAAAATGAAGACGAAGGAAGTGATGGCACCAAAAAAGGATGAAATCACATGGAAGTCAATAACAAATAATATTGTGAAAGCAATAAAGAACAAGCGATACGATCCAGTTGAACTATTGCCAAAAAATGTAGTTGATAAAATCTTTGACTACATTAAAGGAAAGGAACTAATGACAGTGTCGCTTGTCAATCACCGGTGGTACAATTTTATTGGAAAATCAGAAAGACACATGAGCAAAGTTGAAATTCGTATTGTGGAACCAAGAACTGGACGTCTTCCTTTATTTACCATGAGAGACGCTACATTTATGACTCAAAATAGAAGGAAGTATCAAAACATATCGTTGATTAGTTTGGAATTTGGGCTCCGAACACAGCACAAACTCCTGCTTGCAAATTTCCAATGGAGAATTGTAAGACTCATTTGTCACGGATTCAAGACACAAATTGATTTGAATAATTTTCTTGGAATGATCGAGCCTTATGTTGAGGAAATAGTGCTACGTTCTATTTGTATTAAAAAGGATATACTTCATACTTTAGAACAAAACTTCACCTTTCCAAGACTAATGAAATTGTCGATCAGAAACTGTTCAGCATACGTTTACAATGGACCATTTAATGGAGTTACTAATCTGTACAGCTTAAACATCGGAACTGAATATTCATCAAAATACTCACCAGGCAAACATAAAGGAACTTTAAGAAATCAAGGCATTCAGAATATTATGTTAAATAATCATTACCTTGATGAGCTGGAATTGTTTTTAAGCCAAGAAGATTTTGATGCTATTTATATGAATGAAAGATTTTTGAGGAATATCCGATTCTCTTTATACTCATTGTCCGTTGGATGTTTCATACAACAAGATAATGAAGGAATCAATATCGTTCAGATCAATAATTTCATTCGCTTTCTTGAGTCACAAAAATATTTGGTGGAACTAAACCTTGAAAAATGGCTTGGAATCTTAGTTTTGGAATGCTCAGTAAATGATATGCAGCTAAGAGGCTTAACAATCACAACATTCGAACAATTTGGACAACACAACGATTCTGTTGATCATCTTTCACTACAGAGGAACCAAACAATTGAACATTTAAGGATATGGACACAAAATAATAGTGTCGTCAAAGAAATTGTAAATGTATGTCATGAATTGAAAGTTCTTGAAGTCGCATTCGTCACTCAAGAACTCTTTGATATTATAGTTAAGAATTGTCCGAATCTTGAAGTATTAATATGCGACTCTTTTACAGCCATCAGGCCACCGATCAATGCAGTATTAAAAAGATTTCATTATATGGAGATAAGAGTCTCATGTGCTACTATTTTTAGAGACCTGATTGCATATAAAGGCTGTAATTACAGTTTTGAACAAGTTTTCTTGGATGCAGCATGGAAGTTACAAAAGCAGATAAATTTGGAAATAATGACAAATAGCTATAGAAGGCATAGCTTTTAAGGATATTATAAAAGTGATTGTGAGGAACTTTGGAGATCTAAACTAAGATAAATTCTTCAAGAGTTGTTCATTTCATACAATTTGTAATTCCAAAATATGGATTTAACGTTTCAATGGCAAATCTGGGCAAATCATAATAATTGTTTAAAGATAATTGAGTAATGATGAGAAGCTTAAATGACCAATGTGAGCTTAGTTTGACAAAAATAATATGTATATTGCAAATAAATTAATTACCTAAGCTCACTTTTGTTCATATTAAGCTCAATAGCTCTTTAATTATTGATTACATCAGATTATACATTGAACATACATTAAATAGTGTCTTAAGTTACATAAATTTTAAGAAAACTTAATTAAAATTATAAGGTCAAGTATTTTTGACATTGTGACAATTGAAAATATTTGCAATAAAAGTTTAATATTTAAAAATAATTATAAATCTCTTCATTATATTACTTTCTATTTCGATTTAGTCTAATTTTCTAGTTGATTGTTCAGTTATTGTATTTAAATCCCAAGGTTAAATTTCCTTACTCAGCAGCATTAAAAAGCTATTTTTTTTTTCAATTATCACACATCTTCAGACCCCCTCTCAACCTCCTAAAATTGAGAGCATAGAATATGAGCGTTTAGTAAATGAATAATTGAATATGAAATACCTCAAGTGATGACAATCTCACCTAGCTATTCTAATAATGACTCTATTAACTAAGTCATTACAAAATTCAGTCAACAAACTATATAGCATGTGAAAGAACAATAATTTTCTGATAGCATACACAAATTCACCATTCAGTTGCATAAGTATCAGGGGATTTAATAGATGGATATATAAAATTTTCAGACAGAATAATAAACCTTTAATTAAAACAATTAGAATTATCATAAATTAAAACTCAAATATTTCATAATTCATAAAAAAAACTTTTTTATTATAAAATTTAAGATTAAGTCCATAAAGTCTTAAAATCACAAACCGGTATAATAGAATTAAGAATGTAAACACATGAATAAATTGAGTAAAAACTCTCAAAACTTTTCTTCAAACTCTCATAAAGATCAACATGAAACTTCCTCTCTCTCCGGCAACAAAAAAAACTGTTAATCCACCACATATACACATGAGTACAATATTGAGCAAAAGTAAAACGCAAGCCACATTCAAGTTTTCAGATTGAAAGGAAACATCGAGTTGTTCACTCGTCTATTTTACTCGATCTCTCTCGCTCGGCATTTTCGGTATTAAGAAAAAAAAGTGTGAATATTTTATCTTATGTGAATTATCTCACTTAATTCAATCAAAATAAAAAAAATTGTTGTTTTTGAGTAAGCCTTACAGTACGCATCACTACTATTATTTACATCTATTTGTGCAATTGTTGACTGAAAAAAAAAATTCTCACACAGCATAAAAGCATATTGAGGAAATTCTTTGAGTTAGAAATAAAATTAATTGCATTGCATGCGAATAATTAAACATGGTAAAAAGTGGCAAAAATAAATCAATGCAGGCCATCGTGCTGCTGAGAATATAAAAAATGAGATTCACATGTGAATAATATTAAAAGATCAATGTGCATTTGAGGAAGTTGATAGTGAAAAAATTTCAAGTCCGGTTTTGGGATCAAGATATTAATTTTTTGAATTATTGGATGGATGTTCAGAGTGAAATATTGATGAGGCTGGTGTACATCACTAATCAACAAAAAGCTAGATTTGTGCTTGTTAATATATGGAGTTTGAAGCTTGGATCTTGATTTTTGTGGATTCAAAAAATATTAACACCCCCCTCGCCCATCTTCTAGAACATCCAAGAAAATACAAACCCACTTGAATTGCAAATAAAGAGTTTCAAGGAACAAATTAAATTAACAGTAATAATACTTGATCTACATAATTCTCGAAAGCCATATTATAGCCCTAAATTCCTCTACAAATATTTTAGTAGGAACTCATCGTCATGAAAATAATTTTTTACGATTGTATCTGATTAACTTTACTACACCATAATAAAAAGCTATATAGAATGGACTTAATAAATTTTTACACCGCAAGTCTCATTTACAAGTAACTTAAGTGGCGAGAAATATACATCGAAAGATGCAAATTGACTTAATTGGAACTTACAGATTTTTTTTTCATTCTACTTTTTTATGCGATCACAATTTAGTGAAATTTATGGAGGTTCTTCTTCTTTCTTATTATTGTCACTAGTGTCTTTAATTTGAGGACAAATTGTACTTAATGGGATATTTCTGAAGAAATAGTAAAGGTGATCAAGACATTAACGGCGCCTTACGATTAAGTAATAATCGATGGCAATTTATGACCGAATTTAATCTACGTTCGAGTCATCAGACAACAATTTAAAGTTCGGACTTTCATAAGAAATCAATAAGAAAGCTCCGCTAATTTTTGTCCATAATTTTTTATGCTTAAAAAATAAACGACGACGACGACACTAAACAATCATCATCATCATCTTCTCAGTTGTCTCTCACAGAAGGAGGAAAAAAAACAAAACAAAATATCCGAAAAGAAGATTAACGAAATGAGATATCTGTGAGTGAGGAGTGGACTGCTTAATACAAATGTGCAAACTAATGATTTTAATAATCTGGACACATACCGGTCTCTCTCACACATTTTTTTGTAACTCTTCTCCACTGGCCACATTTATTTGATCTATCTGAGCTGATTAGAGAGCATTGATTTAATGTAGTAGCTGCTTTTTTGGCACGAAAATTGAATAATCTAACATAAAAAAATTTTAGTGGATTTTAAGGAGCCAGCTTCGAACTGATGTTTACAGTTGTTTAGCTTATTTATTCATATTTTGGTGCATAACTAGGGAGGTTTGGTTTTGCTGGGGGAACTTAAATTGAAGTCAGTTCCTGTTATTACGAAATATTGATTAAATCATACTGTATAACCGGTGGTAAAAATTCGTATCAAAATGCCAATGATCTTTCTTCTTTTTATTTGGAGCAAAATAAAGTTACAAAGTTGCAGATCAGTGTGCTTAGTTATGCAAAGGAAGTGTGGATGGGCGATGAAAAAAAAAAGATTGAAGTTTCTTTTTGATCCAATTAAAATTTTGTACGAGAACTTTTTGAACCGTCCAAAATTTGGCTATTTGCAGCTCACAGAAACGGAGCATTGTAGTAACTTAGAGCAATAGCTTGGCTAGATGTTTTCATTTCTAATTTGTTCAAAAGTTTTCATCTGGAATTGAGATCTGAGCATCCTTGTGCTTCTTCTATGTCTCAGAGGATCCATACTTTTTTTGCAACTCAAACATAGGAAATCCGAACCAAATGGCTTAATTAGATGCTTTACATTAATAGTACAAATAGTTTATTGGACATCCGAAAAGATTCGCCTTAATAGACAATCACCGTAACTTTATCAAACTCGATTTGCTTTTCTTTTTATTATGAAGAGCTTCTCATAAATATTTATCTCCTCAATATGCTTCTATCTGTCTATCTCTACCTCTTCATCACATAATTTGTGCGTATAGAATTTCTTGTGGAAAATGGATTTAAAAATGTCTTTTCGTTCTCTTATGTCTTTAATTTAGTTCTTTATTGAGTAATGCGAGAATTATTGTGCTGATTAAAAATTGTACAAGAAACTGATAAGAAATGTGAATGTTAAGTTATACTGTGTGTCTATAGAAACTAAAATACAAATGGATTAAGTGAATATTGTCAAGAATTATTGGACTGTGTATCACCCAGGCTGAAGAAGAATTAAAAAAATATTTTTTTGAACTTCAAGTTTTCTTCTAAAAAAAGAAAGAACTGTGAGAGTTCAAGGACTTATAAGAGAAAAAAAAGTTAAGCAAGAGAAAGAAGAAAAATGTTGATTTCAGTGAAAAGTATTTTGATATTTTGCATATTCATAACTTATGGATTTAATCTTGCATCATCTGCTTCACAACAGGTAAGAATTCTTAGGAATTTTATTATTAGTAAAATGAACAGACTAGAGTCAGGGGTTAATTAAGGAGGATTTTGAGGAGTACAAACGTTAAGTAAATGCTGATTTATGATTCGTGTCAACTGGATTGAGTTCGAAGTCGGTTTTGTTGAAAAAAACTAAGTTCAACTCAACTTCTTTGTATTGCTGGAACTTCAAAAAAAAATCCCAATTACTGCCTCTGACAAGAATTATGATCGATTTGACTATGAAGGCTGAAAACTAGCTAAATAAGCTATTGATCAGACTTCTTTTTGTTTTATAAGAAATATTTGCAATTTATGCAACAATATTAAGTAAAATTGATCTTTTATAACCCAGTTCAGTCACAGTCTAGCCAATAAATGTGATAAATAAAGAATAACTTGCTGCCAGTGTCAATGCCACAATCATAAAAATTCAAATGCTTAATAAAGGCAAAATCTTGATTATCGGGTGACAATTATGACTAGTCAAAAACTTGTTCCCTTTAAAACACGTTATCAGGATGTTTTTTTTTCGATTGTGCTGCTTAAAAGCCGGACTTTTCAGGATAGAATAAAAGAGAATCTGGTTCCTTATGATCGCCGCATGATGCTTTCTTGGATAAAATTTACATAAATTTCTTAAAATTTAAGGTCGATGCCTAATAAACTAGTTTGAGAAATTTGAATCTGACCAATGATAAATTACATGTCTAGTAACGACTGGTTATTGTCAATTCCATTTCTCTATAGAAATATATTTTGCACATGCTCAAAGGCAGGAACAAAATGACCTTTTTTTTGTACTTTCATACGATGATGGATGATCCTCGAAAAAAAATGAAAAGTGAGATGAAAAATGGAGCAAGGCTACTTTTGACTTGAATTAATTTTCAATTCCTTCCCATTCTGTGTCGACTTTTTAAGACACATTCGAAGAAATTGTATTTCTTTTTTACCTTTTGTTTACATTTAAATTATTTCTCAGTTCATATTTTCTCATATTAACACTCAATGCTGAATGAAGTGTTTTATAACGAAGACGATACATGTGTATGGATGTACATATTTATTTGTAAATTATTGACTTTAATTCTAACTGTGAATGCTTATGAGCTGTAAGGAGATAAGTGATCATGATGATCATTTAATTTGTAATCATAGGGAATTGCCTTAAACATAAATTGCGTCACTATCACCTACCCATTCCATTCATTCCATTCATTTAAACTATTTAGATTTATATTATACTATTTACAATCATCATACATGATGACGATTAGATTCCTAAGCGATTACTTCCACTCACGCGAGATTTCTTCGTATTTTCTTCTCAAGTCTTTATGTTTATACTTAAACGCTTTAAATAAACCATTAGCAACTAATTGTGTCCATCAATAAGAATGTAATTTTAAGTGGAGAAGAGATGAAAAAATATTAGAAGATTGATGGACGTCATGAGAAGAGCATTTTGTAGCATTTTTTGTTGGAATGAAATGTTTCAAATTTATGGCAATTTGACTGATTTTGGATTTTAGGGTTGCAACTGATTTATGTGCCATTAGTTTGAATTTGGTGGGGTTTGATTCATCTTCTATAATTTTAGCTAAAATCTCTGTGGACTATCAATCAGTAGGCCCTATTTGACAGCCATTGAAAGTCATTTAGAAATGGAACTAGACTCTTAGAACTTAACCACTTTAAATGTATTGGAAACATGAATGATATTACCATGATAAGTCTATCAGGATCAAACCTAGCCTCAAGTGATCTAATCTGGCATAGTGATGATTTTGTGTCCAGCATCTATCACATTTGTTTCAAATTAATCAAGATAATCCACTTAGTTTCTATAAACTCTACATATGCTAACCTAAAGATGCGTCTAAACCTCAATCAAATACCTTACGCATTGCCTATAAATTCTCGATCTAATTGAAATCACACATACATAGCATGATGCAGAGAAGAGTGCATCTGGAACTTATATTAATAGCTGGAGAAAGACACTTGATAGATAGATAGATGGTTACTAGAATGGGAACAATAAGAGATTATTGTTTGATACACAATGTAAAGTGAAGCCTCGCGAAAGCAACATAAAAAAAAAATTGAGAAGAAAATAAAATAAAGCATAGAGGCAGAAGAATCAAACGGAGTCATAAGCCGACGAGTGAATAAGAAAATCCCATTAAAAAGGTGTAAAACATGAACAAAGAGATAACAACAAGACTTGTGTTCTATGGTGCGAACTCACAAGAAAAAAAATTCTTTTTTTGCTGTTCAATTCTTTTATAAAATTTTCGGAACATTCTTCAAATCGCCTTCTGCCTTTGGCTTATTATTTCTTAGGTTTTTTTTTTATTGTGGAAAAAATTTTCTTTTTATTTTCGATTTGTGAGAGATGTATAGAATAAAAAAATTGGATATAAAAGGCATAAAAGAGCATATACATATATTATAAAAGTGTATCAGATGGCAGACCATGAAAGGATTTTTCTTCTTATTATTCTTTCGGGGTTTCTCGCCTCTTTACCTTTTTGCTCTTTCTCGACTGGCCTTTTTTTTCTCATTTCTTTTTATTATTTTTAAAAACATAAAAGGCATAACACTCAACACGACTCAACGATATGTGCACAATATATGGGAATGGAATAATAATAAGAAGAAAATATCAAGAGTCTAAATGTCTAGCACGACCGATCGGTCGGTCGGAGGAGAAGAGGAAAAGAAGCAAGAAGCAATTTGTATGTTTTGTATTGGTGTGTTTGGGAATCATTTTTATCTTCTTGTTCTTCTCTTTTATTTTTTTTAACACTTTATGCTGTTGATGCCACTGATGTGTTTTTCTTTAATTCTTTTCTCTGGTCTCATCTTCATACATGCCTATATGTCGATATACATACAACTTAAACATGTGATGCACGTTGTACATGCTCAGAATCTTATAAATGTGTGTTGTTGTTTGTGGATTATGTTATGTTTTTCTTCTCTCCACATATCTCATGCTCATCACACTCTTTTCCTTTATTTTCCTACATAGAGAATGAATGCAGAGAAAGATCAAGTTTACATCTTTTACAGCAACAAACTAACACATAAATTTTGCTAGAGATTTCTTCTTATTGTTTATTTATTTATTCGAGTTAGATATATGAATGTTAAATGATCATTTTAAACAGCATATATGGCAATAAACATTTAATTTTATGTGATTTCTTTTTCCTCACGACTTTTTACCTACCTTAGAAAGTTATTGGTTCATAAAAAAACATTGTTTTGTACAAGCTATCAATTGTCATGAAAAATGCTCAAATGTCAACTTTGTGGTTAAAGGATCGTCTTTTTATGCTGCTACCTATTTGAGTGCATACACATTCTCTTTGGGATCGTTCACAAATGACGTCCGATATTAACGGCCATTTTTCAAAAAAGAACAACGGAATTCCAGAAATTTCTTTTGTTCTTTTCTTGCTGAACCCCACCCCCCCCCCCCCCCTCTGGACGTCATACGTGAACGGTCCCTTTCGAAAAGTGTATAAGAAGCACTTTATCAAGTTTGTGACATAAACATTTATCAAGAACATCGAAAACTCAAATAAACATTTTCGTCTTGATTCTTAAACATGCTTAATCCTATTCTTGTCTTCCTGAATGGCATAAAGGCACAAGATTCTCTATAGAGATCACCAAATGCCAGCTTGTGATCGAATTTATCAACAAAAAAACCATGACAGCTACAAGCATCTCCAAACCGTTAAATAATCGTTTGAATCTAGTATATCAATGTCAAAAGGGCTAGAGATGGATTGTCTGACAGATTTTTCTAAAAAAAGGTTTTAATGCCTACATCTATGACAATCCAATTCTACGTTCTGCACAAAATATCTATTTTACTAAATGACCAACTTAGGAGTTCCTTCAAATAAAGCTCAATCTATAATTGAAAATGAATATCAGACTTTAGGCATTTCCTGCAATACTTTTTCCCTTCCATAAAATTCAATAAATTATTCCATAGAACACAATCTAGACAATCTATTTCCAATGAATGAGCAATCTTTATTTTCAACAAATTTAATGGCTGTAAATTATTTTGATCCACTTAAATCATCACTCGTGTGTTGAATAATTTTAATTTTTTTTCCTCAAAACTCCCTTTGAGTCATAATTCAAACAATTCTGTGACATCAAAATAAATCCATATTTACGAAACGAAAAGAAAGAGAGAGAATTAAGAATTAACAAGGCAGAATATTCACATCATGTATGTTTAGTCATCTACTTATATTTCATTTAATAAGAAAAAAAGAAAAAAGAGCAGTTTTGACACTTTAAATAAAAAGTTTGATGATGTTTATGATGTCAGTGTCTGGCGTGAAACTAATTTAACAGTTACTTGGATACTTAGCGCATGAACTATATAACTGAATACACACGAAATAAACAAAAGACAAGAGACAAAATGGAAAAAGGAAATTGGATAAAGTATTCATTAATTAAAAGAGTCAATAAATACATTATGAAAATCACACGACGTTGATGACGATGATATACATTTAGAGGCAAGTGTGAATGAATTTGAATACGCTCGCGAGAGGGGAGGAAGTGCAGAGGAGTATATTTCGAGTAAAGAACAAAGAAGCACAAGCACGAAAAATATTTACAGATTATTGCTCATAGGTTCCTTTCGCGATTCATCATATGATGATCAAGTAGATGCGTAAGAGACTGTCTATGCCAATAGACTCGAATAAATCTCAAGTATCTATCATTTACGCAAATTAGCTCGGCGCCTTCGCTACATTTTTAAAATTTGGTGTAATAAACGATAAATGTGGAAAATTGAAAATTAAAAACCTTTTTTTGAGGAAATTTATTGCCATTTCTTCTCGAGGCTATAAAATCGCAATTTATTGGCTTTTTTCAGCGAGTTACTTGAAGTGATGTTGTTTTACCATTTTTGAGTAAATAACCATTTTTTATGGACAAAAAAAATTCATGTTTATGTTTCCATAAGCGTCAGATATCAGAGACTTATTTAAGGATAGGTTTTTAATTGAAAATCATTTGCAGTTTGTTTTGGAATTATAACTCAAATTTTCAGGTTTTTAAATGATGAATCATATTTCATTGTGAACTGGAGGAAAATATGTGTGTAGGATCATTGCTAGGTCTAGTGGAATCAGTTGAATTGGACCATTTGTTTGAGTGACGAAGGAAGAACAAAAGTTTAGGGGGTACAAAAATCACTTTTATAAAGTTGAACTTCCTGACTATGCGCATGATAAGAAGATAATCTGTCAGTGCTAAAGTAAGTCTCTAAATGGCCAAACATTTTGACAACAGACTAAAAATCAGCAACTCTTTCTTTTTCTTATGAAAATAACAGTTTAAAATTCACCAGAAGCAAAATATTTGAAGTCATAATTAAACAACGATTTATCCTAGTGTCACTCACTGTCTGAATGATCCCTGATTATCTGAATATTAAAAATATTAATAGCTGCAATTAATTATCAAATTTACATGTCAGATAGTTTAATTGTTCTATTCATCCAGTAAATTGTTTTACAATTGACTGCTGGCAAAATGACTACAATGTTGCATTTCTATATCCATCACTTGAAAACTGCTCTTATTGTTCATTGCATGATAAAAATCTCAACTTGATCCATGACAAATGCGCTCTTAATATCCACTTTACAATGTAAAGTTTATTTACTCTTGAACAGCAGCTTTATTGGCATGGGCAAGGAATTAATTTTTTTAACGAGGCACAGAATAAAATGTGATGATTTATGAATTTAATAGCTCAATCCATCAACAAAGTGCCATGACCGCTAGACAAATTCCATTTCATTAATTCTCACAAAAAAAAGGAAAGAATTTCCGCTAAACACTTTCACTCGTCTCTTTCCTGCAAAAAAAAAAAATCCATTAAGGAATGTCTACTCGACCGACGCGTGATATTAAAATATTTATAAATCCAATCGCTAGTCAAATGCAAATGAAGCAAAAAATATTTTTTTTTGTTGATGAAAATCTTCAATCATTAATCATACACATGTGAATATATTGGAATTATGAAGAATTTTTCTCTCCTCGTGACTCCATCTCACTCCTTCTTTTTCTTTTCTGAAAAATGATACAAAAACTGCTTTGCGTTTTATTATTATTTGTCGAGCGGGCTAGATGAAATATTATTGTTACTTAAAGCAAATATTTATGAATTTTAAATCTTTAGCAAAAATATGAAAAAAAAAAGTTGTTTTATTAATAACTTTATGGATAATTACGGCGCATTTCATTGATTTGATTTTATTACTCATTATTATTAATACGAACTACTTTTTAAATCACTGAATTATATCAAGTATCCATGAGCTCAATTAACAAGTGAAACATTCAAATGAGTTAAGCTTTAGGCAATTTTTTTGATGTTTGAGTTGACTTTGAGTCTGTAAAACGCATTTTGAAGCAATGTCCTTTATCTCAATTCAACATTAAAAGAAAACCTTTTCAACAATTCTAAAAGGTTTTAAAAATGACTCAAAATAAATTAATAATTACAAAGTTATATCCCCAAATAAAAGCTTCAGTAATTCAACAAAACAAGAGAGCTAATCTAAATATAAAAACGACAGACGTTCATCAAATGACGAATATACAGATTAAATAAAACTGTCCGTCCAGGTTTTATGACTCCATTTAGTGATTATTATCAAGAAATCCTTCTTAAATATTTCTTAAGAGAGCTTACGTGCGAAACATAAGGTATGCATTGATAGACAGAAGTAGGAAAGGTTGTCACCAGCATCTTTATGATAATTATTCACACTTCACATCTCGAGAGATGATAACACCCCGTTGACTTTTTCGAAAGGATTATTAGGACATTTGGAATCTACTTTGAATATGCAGTTATCATCTCATCTAAGTTGGAGCTTCAATATAATTAGTAAAATGAAAAAAAATATCCGATTATACAAATTTATTGAAATGATATCATTTGTCTGTCAAAATATAATTACTTAATGTCCATTCAGCATTTAGATCTCACAAGTTGACAAAGTGATAAAACTTGTACGATGAATTTTCAGCTATTTTGAATTAGCATCTGATCATTGATGACGACAAATAAACGATAAAGAGACATAGGAATGAGAAAAACAGATTTTGTTTCGCAAAAGGCATTCTAGCGCCATCCAGAATTATTAATCACATTAATAAAAGAATTTTTATTTTTAGACGCGGATGGATGGATGAGAAGAATGAGAAAAAAATTATCGATAATGTTAATGTTCACATCTAACGACTTTTTTTTTCAACAGTTGCTGCTGTTATTGTTGCTATTGATACTTATCATATTTAAAATAATTTTTGTTACTCTCAGCCAGTCGGCGCTCACAGACGAGCTATGTGGCGAGACACTTAAGCTGTCATTAATATCACCATTAATTTGCATTTTAGCGTTAACCAGTAGCAACGCAAATTAATTTAACACACAAGTTTTTTTTAAGGCGATGGAGAGAGAAAACATACAATATAGTAATTGATCGGCGATCATTAGCCCTATCGCTTTAATTAATATGTGCTCATATCAAGAATTTAATATATTTAATTACCTCACTTTGTGTTGCGTCCGCAAATAATCGTATTTCTTAATTTTTCTTTTATTCTACGACCATTGACTGTGATTGCTGGTCCGTTGGACTCACTGAGCTGAGTCTGATGGAATTAACGAAATGCGTTCTATAGTCATTAATCTTCTATAACTCTGATGCTCATGATTTATAAGTTTTTGAAATGCAAAAAACTCATTTTACAAATTTAACAACATTTTTATGTGATCCTTAAACTTGTTTCAGATTTCAGAGTGCACAGCAAAAGGCGGTGAATGTGATGAGTCAAAAAATCGTCCAGTATGTGGATCAGGTAAATTGAGTCTTTCTTGATTTGCGAATTAGAAAGTTCATTAGTGACGTCTATTAAAATTGGAATTGCAAGATCCTTTTCCATCTTTTTAATTATTCAATTTGTGACAACATGTTGAGACTTAGAAAAATTGTTTGACGTCATTTTTGAACGACCCAAACAGCAAAAATGCATAAAAAAATTCTTGTTTTTATTTACCTTTCACGAATTCATTATAGATGGACAAACATATCCATCAAGATGCCATTTGATTCGTGCACAATGCAATGGTTATGAAGTAACGTTTAAACATCGTGGTAGATGTAAAGGTAATTGACATTCTCTCGTCTATTGCTCATAGAAATATTTCTCATTTTGTTGACTTTTTTTATGTAATTGCTTCTCAATAGATGCATGTGTTGCATCTCGTTCCTATGCCCTTTCGCAACGACCCAAAACTAAAGTAAACTTTGTTCCAAAATGTCGTGAAGATGGATCATATGCTCCTATACAATGCATTGAAAATAATGGATGTTGGTGTGTCAATGGACAAGGCAAGCCAATACAGAAAACACACACGAAGCATGGACGACCTAATTGTGCAGGAAAGGGAAATCAGAAAAGATCATCTGGAGCCAACAATAATGCACCGAGAAAAAAATGCTCGCCAAATGATCGAGTCACATTTAATACAGCCTTGACTAATATCTTCCATACTGAATATTCAAAATCACGAACGGGTATCGAGATGGGCGATCATCAAGTTGTTGAGTGGAAATTTAAGTTATTGGATCTCAATAAAAATGGAATTTTAGAGAAGAATGAGTATCAAGGGCTCAAGAAGATCGCAAAGACTGTAAGTTCCAACTTCCGAATGACATAAATTCCCAATCATTACAAACAATCAAATTCGATTGTTGTCTCTAGCCGTAGACTAGACATTTTTATTAACTTCCCAACTTCCTTTCAACTCATGTCATGAATTTAGGTTGTCAGGCCAAAGAGATGCGGCCGACGATTTGGTAAATACTGTGACACAAACAAAGACCTTTCAATAAGTCGGGAAGAATTTCATCAGTGCTTGAGCAAAGATTTACAGAGACGTGAGTAATTTTCCATATAATTTGTTCTCGTCGCTAGCTTTAATTTATCATAATAAAATTAATGAATGCAATGCGATTGTCAATATGGAAATATTTACATTTTGCCTATACTTATTATTACTTCTTCCACTTCTTGTTGCTGCTTATTATTATTTTATTTTTTGGGTTGTTTGAAGAAGTAAACGTGAATGTGAAAAAAGTACGTGTGTGTCTGCATGCTATTACTGCCTTTATCTAATTTGCGCAACAAAATTTGTTTGATTAGTGTTTTGCGTATTTTAGATTACAAATAAAATGTATATGCACTATGGGTAATGTTTATTGACTTCGTGCTCTAAAAATATCTATATTAACGAGATGTTCTTGAACTTTGTGATGCGGTATGTTATTGGGATTCAGGAGCTTCCTTTAAAGTTTTCCTTTGTAAGCCATTGGATCAACTACGCTCGTAACCTTTCAAAACCTTTGGTTCGGGTTGCATTCCTTGTAATGTTATGAAAATTGATAGGAATCGAACTTACATCATTGGAAAAATAAGTGATTCTCCAGATTCCAATTAACTTTAACACCGCGATCAATTTTAAACTTAAACTCAGATCCAAGATTTATGAATTAGGGATTAAGACACCACTAAAGTTTGAGAACCCCTGTCCTATACATATTTTTGGAAATAATATTAAGGCATGATTTATAACCAAGAAAACAAAATTTTTCCACCTTTTTAGTTTCACCTATTTAATATTCATAATCATAATGGACTTCTTTGACACACAGTAGCAATTTTGTTTATTTAGTTCCGATTACTACCAAAATATCAATATTAAAAAAAATTTACTAACAAAATTCAGTCTTTATTTTTATTATTTTGCATTTTTATGGCTTGAATTCTTGCAAAAATGTTAAATGTTAGAGAGTATTATTTTTTTTATGGCATAAAGATATTTAATGTCTCATAAATAATATTATATCGATATATACACATAGCTTTATCAATTTTTTGTTGTCCGTAAATAAAGCTCTTATCACAATCATTATATGTATAAAATAAATCACAAACATAAAAAAAATATATATACACTATATACTACATACATGCAGATTTACCAGCACGTGGTTTAGGAAATGGTCTCAATTCAGACGATTTAGACGACGATGAGGAATATAATGATGATGAATTGGATGTTTTATTCACATTAGGAAATGGGAGAAAGTCAGTTGGTCTACCAATTCGTACAACTGATGATTCACGTTATCAGTCAATGCATTGTATGTATTAACTTAACAATAAATTAATAACATTATCTCATTAACTCATTTATTTGTTGTACTATGTTGAGTGATAAGTAATGCACATATGATGAAAAAGTCAATAGCAAAATTATGCTCTAAATTTAACAACGCAAAATTAGCCATAAATTGATTTTTGGTTTTTATCTTTCTTATTTTTTTCGGCTTTCCAGGCTCAAAATTTTTTGAGATTTTTTTTTGACACTTTTTGGGACATTTTTTTATTTACTAATCTATTTTCATAATATGTGTGCGTGATTAATTCCATTAACCAAAAAAAAAAAAAAGAAGAGAAATTCGTGAATTTTATTCCTTCACATGAACTACTTTGAAGGTATAAACATGAATAAAATATTACATACTTAATTTTTCCATCTGCTCTGAATGACGCATTAGGGCTGCGTGGAAAAACAACTTTAAATTTACAAAATGAGTCTGATGGAGGCAGCAGAGACCATGATGATGACAATAATGATTGTATTAAGGATAGAAAAATTGCCTTAGAGGATAAAAGTGTAAGCAACTTAGAACTGCAAATTTTTTTGCATTTGTGTCTAAATGTTGAACACAGAACAGAGGTCCTTAATTGTTCATTAATTTGTTTTATCCAGGATACCCTCTTTCTGCCTGAATGCACTCCCGATGGTCGTTATCAAAGAGTACAATGTTATCGCAGTACAGGATATTGCTGGTGTGTGAACGAAGATACAGGAAAGGTATGTTGCTATTAGGATATTTAATTCTAGTTCCAAATGTTTGTAATACTGGTACAGCATACAATTCAGGACTGAAATCGATAGTTGTTATATATTATATTAACAGCTAGTAGCTCTGCAGACATCTCAAGAAATCAGCTATAAAATTATTCTCATTTTTATCGCAGCCAATAGCAGGAACATCAATGAAAGACAAGCGTCCACAATGTGATTCTCACGTGCCAACAAGAGCAATGGCTGGATGTCCACAAAAGAATGAATTCCTCAAAGATTTGAAAGAATTTTTCAAGACACAAATCACATCAAGTGGTAATCTTGGGTAAATAATGATGAACTTTTCTTAAAGTATTTCCGTGATAATAATTTAATTAATAATAGAGCTGATAATACGAAATGGGGCACAGAGGATGAGAAGATAGCAACATTAAGTTTTGTATTATTGGACAAAAATAAGAATAAAGTTTGGGAACGAAGAGAATGGAAGACATTCAGAGAACTTGTGACAGCTACAAAGTATGAGATTAATTCGAGAATGAAAGATGAAAGTTTTTATGGATTTTTTTGTTCTGATTCCAGAAAACTTCGTCGGTGTGGAAAGAAAATGCCAAGGTATTGCGACGTCAATAATGATAAGAAGATAACTTTATCAGAGTGGCTGAATTGTCTTCAGACGCAGCGCGTACAAAGTGAACAAGTGAAGACGCAACAAAGTGAGCCTAAACCAACGACACAATCGAAACTTAAAGGCGTGAATCCCCTCGAATATATTTTGAAAGCAGATTAATTTATTTATGAATTTTATACGTTTTTTTATGTCTGTGCCATTTTTATATGTATTTAATTTTTTTAAATAGCCATCCATTTGCGATTCATTTATTATTATTTTTTTTTGAATATTAATTTTAATGAACTATTAATTATAAGCAGTATTAAAGATTTGAACGAGTTATTTAATTACTTCTATAATTATCTCCTCCTTTTGATCGATAAATTGATAGATAAGTGCATGTAAATGTAATGATTGTACATAATAATGAGTAATTATCCCTTTCTCAAGTTCTTCTTTCCACTATCTTCATCAGATAATTAATATCGACATAAATATTGTGTATTACACACTCACATTCAATTTGCATACTGACTTTGAATTTTAAAAAATGAGAAAAATAAAAAGTATACAAAATTATGGAAACTATTTGAGTCTTTTGGATTGTTTTTCAGGCTGGTATCATTTTTTTGTGCCAAATCTTGATTTCTATCTAAATTAAAATTTATACTTTACTGTAAATTACGAATTTCTGACAAAACTGTATGAATTTCTAATTCCATCTCCTCCTCGTCCAGTTCTTGCTTCCGTATTTATTCTGAAAACAATAAAAATTCTATACCAAAAACACAACAGAACTAGAAATAAAGTTTGCAATATCAAATTTCAAGATTTTAATCACAAATTAATTTTTAACATGACATGACCGATTTGACCATACGCGAGGCATTAAAATTAGTCGGAATAAACAATTTATCGACAATTTGAAATAACTACCAATTTTATTCAGCTATAAAAAAATATACAATAAAATTTGCATCTCATAATAATTTTTTTATTGCTTTATTTAAACTTCGATGATTAATTTTGAGACTCCAACTTACTCAGCACCTTCCAAATTATGTCATTAATTTATTTTTGATGGTTTTTAAAAGTAGCTTTTAAATTTTAATAATTGTGATTTTTAATTTAATCACGTTGATTTGTTTTTGAGATCAAAAATAAATTAGTAAATGACGACTGCAGGTGACTTTGGGGTCTACTTCTGGAAAATTAAGGAGCAGTTTTAAAATTTAAAGGAGGAACTAATATATTAGATGCAGTAGTATTATGCCAAATTTTATTGAATATGGACTATCATCGCTTTTAATTACCTTAATAAGATCAAAAGTAGCTTAAGGAATGTCGAAAATACAAACTGGTCATTGGAAAAGCAATCATCATTTACCAATGGTAATCATGAAGTCTTTATATAGCAATATAGGGATATATTGACATATCTTAAGAGTATTGCTCATTTTCAAAGCACATGAGCTACATAGATAGCTGATTGTCAAAGATCTCTAGTTAATAATACAATTTTGATAATGTTGGTTCGATTCTCATCAAATTCGACTTGTTTTAAGCTTAATAGTTCAAACTTATGTCAATATTTGTTTACAAACCTGAAACTTTCAACTTCAAAGTCCACAAAGAATTCAAAAATAAGACACATGAACGAAATTTGCAATAAGATTAAACCTCAACTAAGTAATTACTTTTTATTCAATTTTAAAATCGTCAACATAAACAACAAAGTGTCACTAAAATGTGGGTGAAATACATCAACAAAATTTGCCATTAATTTATTATTTAAACATAACAAGAACTTTTTTCAACTAATTTTATCTTTATAGGAACAAAGGATATCGTGGGGAATTTCCAACAATTTTTTAAGCATCTCCTCCAATCTAAACTTTTGTGTCTCTGTTCACAAAATAAAACTTTTTCTTTACAACTTAACAACAATTTTGTTTCAATTCTCATTCCAAGTTACTTCTGTCTTTAAATTCAATTACTTGTACTTGTCTATATTTGAAGCTAAATGCATAGCTTATGTGGCAATGTGCTTCTTGTTTTTATTTCATTAGAAATTCTTTTTTTATGTCTAAAAGTTATATTTGGAAAAAATTAGTCGAGTATGAAAAAACTTTTATGGCGTTTCGACTTTTTCTAATTCACGATATTCCAAATTCTTCTCTTCGATGTCTCCGAGAAGCTTCTTCTGCTTTTCCAGCAATCTCAATTCACTGGGCTTAAGAATTCCTCGAAGAATTGTATCATAAGATATATTCAAGCCTGTCTTCTTCATCTTCTCATATAATCTCCAGCATTCCTGTGGGACAATCATAAAATTAAATCATCATATTTTCTACAGGCTTTTATTTCCTACCTCTTCGCGTGGCTGTGTCAGTAAATCCTGAGATCTTTTCTCTTCAGATGTTCCATTAAAAAGTTTCGTTTTGGTTTTTGGCTTTTCTTTAATTATGGTCTCTTCTTGTGGTTGATTTGATGTGTTTAAATCATTCTCATTCTTTGGTTGTGCTTGCTGCTGCTGCTCTTCGGTACTGAAAAAATTTATTATGGAAGGTTATTAGTAAGGAATATACAGCTGAATCAATGAGCTTTAGTCAAAAATTATTCCTAAAATTCAAGAGCATTAGAACTTTTGGGATGAGTTGAGATCCTTTGCTCTTGCTTTGCCACACAATTCTTAGTAAAATTCATAATTATTTTGCTTGGTTCCTTCCCGTTTCTTGCGATTTAGAAGAAGCTTTTTACTTAATCTGATCAGAAATTAATCCCAAGATCTAAGAACCACACCACACTAGATATTTTTTCATACCTTATCCATGGATTTGACTGTATACTCCCAAATATAATAATAGATAGCTCCTTGAATGATCTTATCATTCCGTATATTCAATATGTTTGTCCTTAGCTAATATAAAGCTTGTACTGAGACAATTAATATGCCTTATAGCTAAAAATTTCTGTCAACAATTTAAATTATTGATGTAATAAAAAATATTTATAGTCGTCCTGTAAAACTGCGCCATTTCAGGTGACACAAGAGCTTTTTTGACAAAAATTGAAATTGATTTTTTTCAGTCACTTATGCTTTATAATTTGCAAAGCTCGTTAAGTTGTATGTTGGAAATTATACTCAACAAACTACAGCAATCATCAAAGAGTACTCAAGCTATGCTGATGTACATAAAGTGACACCAATCCATCAACTAACCTATTACTGCTATTGCTGCTGCTATTACTAATGCTGCTGTTCATATAAAGGTTGCAAATTTCTTGACCAAAAAGATTCCGTGTATTTCTCATTCGACCTGCAAATGGAACCACAGAATTCCTGCGAATGTTATATCCATCTTTTCCAATAAGGGTGGCTGCTAGTTGCGAATCATCTTCTTGGAATGACACTAAAAATTCAGATAAACTTTATGATTAGTACAAAAGATTTTCATAGGGACGAAGCTGCTTGATAAAATTATTAGAATATTTCTAGATGGAATCAAATAAATTACCAGTTTTACGCAGCATTGATCGAACCCTCGGCGTATCATTCTTGATGATCGTTTGTGGTGTTGGAAGTTCCTTCTCTTTATCCTTATCCTTTTCACCTTCCTTCTCTGAATCACTTTCACCAGAATTGATCATTGACACGAGAGTTTCAATTCCGATTTGATCACATCCCAATATTGTACGAGTTCTCATCTGTTGAGGCTTTTTTGCTGTACCTTTAGGGACAAGTAACGCTTGCTTCATATCCTCTAATTCCTCAGCATACTCATCCGGTGACTCGTCAATATCCTTGTCCCTATTGAGTGTTAAATTGACTCTAAATTTTTGTCATGCATGATTTCGTGATTTTTTTTTTAAATGTTTGCGTGACGGATGAAAGAGCAAAAATTATGCAGTTTTGAAATGATTAAGCGATGACAGAAAAGAATGTAAAATTATACATAAAATAAGTTAAAGAAAAATTCAATAAATTTGATTTAAAAAAATGAATAATTTTTACTTTTTTGCAGTCTTTTTAAATGATGAATTAAAGCCAATGAATAAAGCAATAGAGTTTTGGGTAAGGAAGGGTAATAAAAGCTTCCACGTGGCTGTGAAATAATAAAAATTTGCAGTTTTGCTACCAGAATTGGATAGAATCAATAGCATCACGTTAAACTCTTCAGCTGCACACCTGTTGCATACCAAATAGGACTGTCTGAGAGCCTTCATATTATTCAATCATATTAAGCAGTTCCAATTCTCAGCGTGGAAGTCAACAATTCAATTCCTTTCGTGTTTCCGTTCAATAATTTTCACTTACCTTATAACCTTTTTCTTCCTCACTTTTCTCTTGTTTTTTGAGTCGTCTGTATTAACAATATTTATTGGACGAATTGGGGCACTCATAATTCGTCTACTCGCTTGAAATTGAGCACGTCGAGAACTTGCTGATAATCTACCGTTCGCTGAACTTGACGATGTATCGCTGTTACCACTATTTGAGTTTTTCAATGCAGCATTTGATGATGATGATGATGATGTCGGAGGCTTATGCTGCACAAATGCGTAGGCGGACATGAAAAAAATTATAAAGCATTATTTACGTCACAAAAATGTATCCTTGACATTGCACTAAACTTGAAACAAGAAATTGTTCTCATGTCATGTGTATAATCGTGAATATAAATATATGCTGTACATAATATACATGAAAAGGTGTTACGTGAGCATTACGTGTAAACACTAAGTTTTAAATGAAATGTTCTATAGTGTCGCTACATGTCAGCCCAAATGACAGCCCTTTTCCATGCAATGTGAATTGCAAAACTTCGTTCAAGACGATTCTTTATCATGTCGAGAACTTTAATGAGCTTTTTAGGACTTTGCTTATTTTTTGCAGCACAACTACTTTAAATGCGAAAGCATTTTTACCTTTTTCTAGGAAATGAAAGGAAGTTACTTAAAAAAAATTATGTTTCAAATAAAAAGTTAGTATTATGACGGAATGATTTGAGACTTGACATGGAAGCTTTTATGTAATTAATCCATGAGTTTAATGGTCATTGACATGATGATCTGAAAATTACGATATCTAGAATTTATGCTAGATTTATGAGAATGTAAATTTATTTTGATCATTTAGAATATTTTATAATTCATACCAGCTTTAAATCCACCGGAAATCACAACTGTATATCCAATATGAAGAATATTTTGTTTTCGAAAATTAGAAAGTGAAAATTGACGATTTCCCTCTTATGCTCTAATAAAAATAATGAATTTAATGTTCTTTTTGCTCATTGTGGAACTATATAAAGCATAGATCGCTTCTATATATCATAAATGGATCATCACTAGAACTTTTCATTTTTACAAATTCTATACGAGATGTCAGAATTGTTAAATCAATACAAGATATTTGATATGAGCTTATATGTATGTAGGATGTCAATCTAGGATTTTTTGCTTTTCATCGAGGTATGTTTTATGCTTTTTAATTGGAAATTTTGATGAATTTATGGAAAATAGACTAGTAAATTAATAACTCAATTTCATATGTTGAAGCTTAGACAGCACAACATATGGTATTTTGAAGAAGCTATAAAATTGACAGTTCATTTATATTTTGTGGTTGAATATACTCTTTGTTTCCATCAGAACTAGTCAACTAGTAATCGACTATGTTTGACAACATAATCACTTATTCGATTAGAAAAGGATATCGAGTAGCCTTAAAACAGGCCTTAGAAGCATTAAAACCTTCCTTAAGCTGAATAAATTTTGCCGTCAAGCCTGATACACCCCTTGACTCACTTTCACAGAAATAAGAACACCCAAATTGCAGAAAATCTTGAACTTAAAACCTTCTCAAAATTAGAAGCTACTTATTTTATACAAAAATGTAGGCGAAATGATTGAATTCAAACTTCAATGTTGCAAAAATGAATGACTTCCAAAAAAATTGGTGCTTCTATACATTTCATTATCCTCAATAAAAAATATTTTCATAGTCACAAAATTTTAACAATTCATGAAAAAAACAAGACTCCAAAATGAAGTTCATGAGCGACTATCATGCCATAAGATTTCCTAGGAATGATTGTACATAGCTTACTATTAATGACTAAGATTTAGACAATCCTCTTTAAAGAAAATAGCTTTAAATACTTTGCGATCTGTTGGCGCTAGGCAATTGCATCCAAAATGAATGAGAATTTATTTTCAGGCAGTTTCTAAGATCAAACGGTAATCGCTGCAAAGTTATTGCTTCACTTTCATCAAATCATAAATTTCCCTCAATACTAACTTTTGTATTTTTAGGCATCTGCTTTCGTTTAGTCCAAAATAATGAGTGTAAATTCGCACACACAAAAGAAAATAATACTCAAAATTTAAAAGTCTCTAAAATAAATTAAAAAGTAGGAAATGAGAAAATCTCTTAAAACAGTACAGTCTTCTTTACACAGTCACAGATTATACTTTCCAAAATAAATTCACAGAATTTTAAAATCAAGCAGCTATCCGCTTTGAATCAATTATTACAAATGTGAAAATTTTATAGATTTGCAAACATAAAAAAATATGAAAAAATCATAAAAAGGAAGTGGGCGTCATTCATAGGTGATGTCTCATTGTTCACATTCTTACGGGATATGATTTAGGGAATGAACTTTGGAGGGATTGGGATGATGTGTTGGAGATGGCTTGCACTAGTAACACGACATGTCTAATCGTCAATGTTCATTAATTCAGGGTTCTGATTGTCTCTCGCTATGTAATTCGTCCGATACCAAAGATTCTTAAAGACGACCGAGACCTTTACTCAATCCTAAAGTCATCATTTCCAAATAATTCCCTCAAAGCCTTTGTTATGTAAAACACCAACATAGAATGCATACAACAAAAAAATTGGAGCATGGATAGGCTTAAATACATATATTGGTAACAATTCATTCAGCATGTCAAATAAAAATATTTTTATGTTTTGCAAAATAAAACATAAACTTTTTCATTTCTTTTGTGCTGAAAACAGCTGTTGAATAAAGCTGTAAACTTTACTTTTCTTTATAGCATGCCTGAACTTATTCTTCCTTAGTTTCTTTGAACTTTTATGAGACAGATTTATAGAGGATATAAGAAAAATATTGAATGAGAAGCATTTACAGTCAAAATCAATGAATACACTCTATTGACACAGTTTTGGAAAAAATGAAAATCGACAGCACCAACACATATGAACATATCGTAGGATAACATACTGATGTTTATTGTCATAAATGCAAATGAACACCTTTTCTGTTTTCGTTGTTATTCTAAACGTGCGCGTGAAGTACGGCCGAGACCCATATCGACACAGTTCAAAAGTTATACCTAATTTATGTCATAATTATGTCAGCTACAAAAACACTTAGTTTGAATTTTGTCACCCTCGGGAACACTATGAACCAGTATAGCTGATTTTGGTCCAAATCTCGGCCATACTTCACACTTATTTGAACCACATCTATTTTGTCAAGTGTTTTAAGATAAAGAATTTTTTTTTTGGTTTCCACAGTGAAGAGTATGAACAAAATTCAAATGGGGTAGTCGACATTTTAGATTTCGAGTTTTTTTAAGCTATGCATTACAAAAAGTAATATTGGTATGTGATTTATGTCAAAATTATGTCAATTCAAATAAAACATCCAAAAATTTTTTTTGACCAAAGTACACCATAGAAAATCAATTTTCAATTTGATTGGGGCGACCCTAGTCAAAATCAATTTTGTCACTTTTTTCTTCAAGGGTTTATCCAAATGGATTGAAACTTTGCATAAATATGTTAATGCTTAAAACAAATAAAAATAAAATATCCTAAAATTTTTTTGAGCAAAGAACCAAGTAGGAAATACATCTTCAATTTTGACTAGGGTCGCCCCTAGTCCAAAATTGAAAATTTATTTCCTACTTGGTTCTTTGCTCAAAAATTTTTTTAAAAACTTCAAATAAGTGTGAAGTATGGCCGAGATTTGGACCAAAATTAGCTTTACTGGTTCATAGTGTTCCCGAGGGTGACAAAATTCAAACTAAGTGTTTTTGTAGCTGACATAATTATGACATAAATTAGGTATAACTCTTGAACTGTGTCGATATGGGTCTCGGCCGTACTTCACGCCCACATTCTGAACAACTTTTCCTTAAACTTATTTTCCTTTTTTCAGTTCCGCGTTGATTTGGCAACGAAAAATTTTTTTAATTTATGTTTTGTACTTTCCCTTTCGACTCAAAATTGCGCCTAATCGAACTATTAGATTTTGTTGTATGTGCTGTTGGAAATAGAAATCCATTCAATCCTTAAGCACATGCTATAAATATTCTCAGTGTGTACTATAGATTGAGTAAGGGATGATAAGATTTGTGGGGGTGTGGATGAAGACTTGTTACTAAGGATTGATAGTTTGTTAATGTATAAATAAGGTACACGATGGAATCGACCTTAAATAAATTTGATTTAAATTTTATGCAGGAAATGATATCATTTGTCTTGAAGGTTCATTCAATAAGAGTCAATCTATTTTTTTCCAGGATATGATTTATTGCCATAACCTTGATAGAAATCAGCTTTGAAGCTTATGCATAGTTTTTGTGACTAACTGGAGCTATGTTAATTTGGAGCTTACAATAAAATGTAGGACTAGGTTTAAGTGCAGTGGTTTGTTGAATTTGCAATCGTTTAATTCTTGTGGCTGCAAAACGCCCTAGCGCAGCTCTGGATCACAATTAATATAAAATTTGTTCAACAAATTTCCTATGCAATTCCGTCGACAGGAACTAATCTAAACTACCTTCACAAATGAACAACAAACTTGTTACATCTCAGTGATGTTACTGCTAGAAAAACAAATTCCAATCGAGGCTTGTAAAAAATTTCATTAAGCTACGAATAGGCACAATAAATATTAATGAACATGATGGCATTTAAGGCTTTAATGAAAGCCATCCACAAGAATTTCTTTTATATCGTGAAAATATTTCGCTCAGTGATTAAATTTATGGATGAAAGAGAAGGCACAGGTAGGCAGAGGAAATAAAAATAAAAACAGAGAAATATGTAGCAGCAACTTAGACGTGCCGTGAATGTCATAGAAATAAAAAATTTTCATTTCTTTTAGCAGATAGGAAAGAACCTTGAATTGAAGCTCGATTCCGTGCATACATCCAGTAAATTTTAAGCCACAGTCAATAAATAAGGAAATTTTTGGGTTTGTGATAAATTGATTTTCTCAAAGACGAGCTTTAATGTCAAAAATTTTCCATATTTTCTTCGTTCCAAATTTTCCGACACAAAACTCTGATTTGCTGAAAACTTAATAATATCGAATTGATGTGAAATTGAAAATAAATTGATTGAATATTCTTTATGCTTGTTGTGATTGCTTAAGTGAAAGGAATTATGGAAGTGCTTCTCGACAAGCTTTTTATGTGCTGTAGTATCTTTCTCTGCTAGTCACTTAATGATATCTTTCGACTTATTGAATAGATTACTGCTGATTATCTCAATAAAATTGTTTTAAGCCGTAAATCGTGACAATCAAAATCAATGGATTAACGAAATTATTGGAAATTGTTCATTCGACATCAAATTAACTCTGTTGAAACTTTTTGCTTAAAATATTTAAGAATTCACAATTGATTTTGATGCGTATGGTCAGTAACAGAGGTAAGAATTAGGAAGTTCAGACCACAGCACATCTTCATTAGCTTCTCATCAACCTTAAAATGTTTAATTGAAATAATTTCCTTTAATCTTGTTTGAATCTAGTTCAATACATTCTAATAATGACAATTCATATTTTAAACCAACAGAAGTAAATTTACATCAAAATTGAGCTATCCGTAAAAATTAAGTTATTCAAAAATTATAGCGTGGGAAATGAAAAGTCATGAAATTTTTTCAGAATGGAATTTTTGAGTTGTCATGCAGACATGGGTAAAGAATAAAAATAAGTCAAACGGAGTCAAATTTTGCATGGAAAAAAATTCGAATCAGCTTCAAAATGTTTTTAAAAGTATCAGAGTATGGCTTAGGTTAAAAAAACCAACGAAGAACTTGAAATGTGCTTGATAATTCCAGAAATAATCAAGCTAAGATCAAACAAAGAGAATTTATTAAGATTTTTCGTGTAAAGATTTAGCCTGATGAAGGGGGTCTGTCATTTAATCCTGTGTACAAAATCAAATTGTTAGCCTCTCTCAATAAAAATTTGGTTATGCCCCTTTGAGTAATTAATGTTCTTGTCACAATTCTCAAATTCTCAAAAGCTCATCAAAAAGCTTTTATGTTAAAAATAAAAAAAAACGTGTAGAAAAAACGTGTATTTGAAAATTAGCCAACAAAAATAAATTCCTTAAAATAGAATTAAATAATTGATTCCAAACATTGTTACCTAGCATTTACAAATAATGAAGTTCAAAAAAAAATATTAAAAAATGTCAAATTATATCCAAAAGAATAAACAACTCAATTACAACTCAAAGGGAAAATAAAAATAATAAAACAGAAATTCGTGATGATTTAAGCATATTGATAAGGCACAGATGAATAATTATGATAAACAAATTAAATCGAGGTGTCAAAATAAATTTTAAATTACTTCTGTGCACACAAAACGGAATTAAAAGTGCAACTTTTATGCAAGGGGATAACAACATGATGTAAAAAGCTTTTGTTGGAAAATTTTTAATAGTTTTCCAAAAGAATTGAAGAATTTCCCAACAAAATTAAAATTTTGGATTTTATATTGATTATTTCCCATCATGTTTTTTCCCCTCTCGCCTTTATCACACATGACTTGTATTTAAAACATGGCACGAAACAAAACATTTACACTCACAGTGGTTTGAGGTGCTGTCTCATTATCACTATATCCATCATCCTGAACATCCTGCGACAGAAAAATATTAATGTTGATCTTGTCCTTCGCCTTAACAGCTGTTTGTTCACTCGTTACACTCTTCATTGTTTTGTTCAAACAATTATTTATAAGGTCTTGTCGGCTACACACAGCAAATAGCAAGCAGCACAGCGCAAAAGAAATTTATGAATGAATGAGGAAGAGAAATTATATCGTTAAGGAACAGGCAGTAAATGTAAAATAAATGAGAAATACACGCGTTATCACGCACTTAATATCTTATCGTATATCCAATCCACACTACATGTAGGTCAAATAGGAACTTACTTGGTAATAGAATTATTGCCACTGGCACGCTTTACAATCCTCAAATTTGACTCATTCACTTGCCACAATAAACTGCTTAAATCTGGTGGTGCGGAACTACTTGAGGCGTGCTTCAAGCTCGACGTTACATGATCGACTGATAATTGTTTACGGAGAATTCTTTTACTACTACTGTGGCTGTCACTTGCCTTATCATCGATTGATTTTTGCTTGCAAAGCATACTTTTTGCGCTCCATTGTTGCTGTCGCATGCTAGACATTTCTTAACACGAAACAAATTTTCCTTAATATTATTTTCTCTTTTTGTGTGTGTGTGTGTTTGAGTGAGCTTATTATGTAGCTTTATTCATAAATTGTTTAGTCAAATACATCCATGACTTTATTGCAATTCAATATTTTGTTGTTGTACACAAACTTTTCATATTTATGCAAATCTCTCATTGCTTATTTTTATTGTATTTTCTATTATTTTCGCCAAGCACACACGCAAAAGTTCTTCTACATTTTATGGATATCCCCAAAACAAATCTTTTTATATTTTTTTATTTGAAGGAATTAAACTATGATTTAAAAAGTTTATCCACACACAGATCAATGCCCTCACATCACTTCAAATCAACCGTTCTATGCAGTGTTTTAGCACAAATGGAAGCAATATTTTTATTCCTAATAAAGCTGATACTACACTACCAAGCTACAAAGTTGGGAATTGGATTTTTTATTTCTTTTCCTTTTTTGTAAAAAAAATTCTATTAACACAAAGTTTCACTTGCTATATATAGCTATGGATATATAGACAGCATATCGGGGAAAATCCCTTAAAAACATAATTTTGGATGTCGTTTCTGGACGAAAGACTGTTGTCTTATGACTGCATTTTGTCTCGCTGTGCTTGTGTATTATTTTCATGCTTCAGTTTAAAGGAGCAAGCAAGAACTTTTAATAGCCAGGTTTTGACAGCTGAGAATTTTATCAAATTTTATGCTCAATCTTTCTCGATTTAAAGTTCAAAAATTCAAAGTTTAGAAAACCGTTTAAATTCAAATCTTCAACGACAGTTAAAATTCAAATTTTAGAAAACTGTTACAATTCAAAATTTTAAAACAATTGTAGCAAAAAAATTGCGTCTAAGGGAAGTATCAGACTACAAATCGTCACTACTTTCTTAAATATTCCCATTATTTCTCAATGAATGCAGAATGAATGAAAAACGGTTTTATCGTAAAAATTTACTGCACGATCACTTCATTTCTCACTCTCATTAAAGCACTGAATTAAATTTACTATAAAAGAACATCGATTCATGATTATTTTAAGAGTAACAAGAGATAAGAAACGATTATTACGCCTCCATAAAAGAATTAAAACAATTTTCCTACAACATAATAAATAAAACTCGTGGAAATTCTGACCGAATTTATATTCTTCTTTATTTTATTTTTTTTTTTTGTGCTGTAACCAGACACAAAAATATTATTACGTTGAAACCATGGCAATCAACAAAAGTTTTGTTTATTGGCGGATTAATTTCCATAAAATGTGAATGAAATGGAATGGAAAGAATGTTTATTTGATAAGAAAATCTGTCCCATTTTGCAAATTTGATATTTATCGATTCTCATTATAGGATACTTTCCATGTAAATGAATTAAGATTCTCATGAAGAGCTATATAATCGGTCAATTACAGAGGTATGCAATAAAAAATCATAAAATATAATTGACGATCGCTATTCTGCTGGTACAGATTGTTCAATTTCCATAATTAGCTTGCTATTTTAAACGTTAAAAATTGCTATTCGTCTGTCTGTCAGCCTCAATCCGTGAACATGATTTCTGTTATAAATTCAAATAATTTTTTAACATAATTTTCAAATATTTCTCGAACGTTATTATTTGAAATTTTCATTTACGTTAATTCTTGAGTTTAGAAAATGCGCATTCATCGATCATTAAGAAACATCCTCAATACCAATTTTGTTGCTGTACCTTATACGCCATTCACCTCAACATTGAAAATGCTGCCTGTCTTATATCGAAGAATATAAATCCTTTGACTGCTAAAATCAAATGCTTTGATCGATTCGTTATAGGTCTGATGTTTAGATAACATGTAATCATGCTCCACTGTCATGTACTGTTCTTTGCCTCCTTTTATGGCTTTGATAATGAAAATTTCAATATATTCATGCTGTTCCATTATATTACTTTTTGCTATGCTCTTTTGAATGGAAACAACAGAAAAATTGATATTGCAATTTCCATTTCAAGGTAGCCTTTACCTTATATCATAATCCAAAAGAAATTGTATAAGTATCAATAACTCTTTGTACTGCCTGAATGTCAAACAATTGCAAATGTTTGTTATTTACGATAAATGTCAAAAATTTATTTCCATACTTCCTTATTTACATAATAATAAATTAAATGAACAGTCTTTGTGAAGGGGTTGATACCTAATGTGTGTATCTATATATCATATCAAATCTCTAATCGAACCATGTGGGAACTCGGTATGTCCAATTATTGCTTTGTACGATTGTCAATTTCGGACCATAATAAGGTATTACGTAGCTAGAGCCATCAGCAGGTCCTACGATCTGAGATGCGACTGGAAATTAGATACAAGAAAATTGATGAAAATTCATAATCATTAGCTCTGAAACATCCAGAATTGCAACTTACTCAGTATGACATCGATTAATTGTCCCAAAAACATGAATCCTAATGTGAATAATTTAAAGCATCCTATAGCAGGATATCCTAAATAAAACCTATCGATACCAAACATGCCGAGGAAAATCGATAGAATCAGAGCAACATCAAAGTGCTTTCCATTTCTATTTTAAAAAGGATGAAGAATAAATTGAAATGTACTTACCAATAAAAATGATTGATACTTACGTATATTCACAAGGAATGGAGCTATAAAATGTGTTATTTGATGAATCTTCACATATTATGCCTTCACTTGCTATACATCGTACTTTTGCGGTTCCTTCTTTCGAACATCCAATAACACTTTGTGTATTTTTGTCTATATAATCGTATGAAGAGTCTGGATCTGGACACAGGAACTGCCCGATACGTAGTTTAGAACAATCAGTAGCAGATTCTAAGGCTATTGGGCAGAATATCACTATAATTAAGAAAATCACTTTACTGTCCATTGTTTGTTTATTTTTTTATGAAAATGCCCACATTTGGGGGTTCTTTAATAATACCCAAAAAAGTTTTTCAATTTAAATATTTTATTACCGTTATTTTTCTTAATTTAAACATATTTAATAACACTACTAAATATCAAAAACTGGGATAGATTACATTATTATTTTGGTTTGAGATTATATGTAAAGCTTGAAAATCAGCCTTAAGCATCAGCTTCTTCATCAGCACATTCAACAAGCACTCTAGATTCAACTTGTTCAACATGCTCGATATCAAAAATCACAAATGATATTTCGGGATGCTCAAATTCAATGAACTTGAATTCATCAGAAAATGACAAAATATAAAAACTAAAAATTGTAGCGACTATCCATTCGCTTACTGATGAAGCTACATGATAACGCCAACCTCCATCACTAGGATACCAATGTCTAGGATCACTTCCTTCAAATAGGATATGTGATATAACACCACAGATTGCGACAACGAAGAAGAAAATTGTACAAAATACTGACAATATAATTCGATATAAAGCTCTCTTTACAGTGACATATGGCTCAAGTCTATGTGATATGATTGTTTGGTACCAAAAGTACAACGTACCCATCCCAAAGCTGAAATAAAAGACATGATAAATAATTTAATGGACCATCCCCAATTCAATTTACTTACGCTGAAAAGGCTCCGACATAGTGCATTAATCGGACATTAGTTTCTTGAAAATTAGCGACTATACTAATTCCATAGCAGGACATATATCCAAAATATAGAGCACGTTTATTCAAGTGATCTACTAGATCCTTCAAAACTTCATGATGATCCGTAACATGAATTATCTGCCTATAACGGATATAAATCGTCAGCCCCACTAAAAATTGAAAAAAATGAATTCAAATTACATCACTTGATGCTTAAAAAAATTATGCGCATTTTTCTAAAACCCCAAGCAGAATTCAATTAAAAATTAACGGTCAATAAATTTTTGAAAATATAAAGTTCAAAAACTATATGAAGAACAAAGTTCAAAAATATTTGAATAATGACAGTTTGGCCAAATTTGAACTCATTCATCACCTTTCATAGACATACAAACTGATAGAATACAGAAAATATCGTATTTCCTATCAGAAAAATGCACCAAAAATCGATTTTATCTACTTACGAATCACACATCCCGTATTAATTAACTGTCCAAATATGCATGACTCAGGACTATAAGTAGCTGAGTCAGAAATGTAAGGAATATCTGGAACTACATGATTTTCAAGAACTGACGCTATGTATCTATGGATAAAGGAATATATTTTAATGATTTTTGGATACAAAATTGCACAAATTGCGTCTCACGTTATTATAAATGTTAATTGAAATAATAGGAAGCAACTTATTGGCAATAAATAAACTTTGGACATAGTTCTATTGAATCTTATCACTTTTATTGAATGACTAATGCATCTCACTGACTTTTCTTAAAACTTTAATTCACGAGAAAAATTCGTGTAGTACATAGAAACAATGAATCACTAGCTTTACAACAAAAATAGCAGGCAGACAACAAATAATAAAGATTGGGGAATATCCACAGCTGATTTGGGTATTTTGAGGGCATTTCTTTGTGCCGGAAAATGCGACAAGATTAACAGCTTAAAATGCCAGTTAATATAAATATTGGATTACTAGGTCATGTAGATTCAGGAAAGACAAGCTTATCAAAAGTTTTGTCAAATGTTTCCAGCACTGCTGCCTTTGATAAAAATCCACAAAGTAAAGAAAGAGGTGAGCTGAATAGTTTTTAATAACTGGCTGGCTCTGAAGAGTACTGGATGTACATGTCACTTTAAAATTATATGCTTGAATGCTTAATCTTACTTCCAGAGACCATAAAATCTAGTTCAATTCCTTATTAATCCCGAAATAAATTTCAGGAATTACGCTGGATCTTGGATTTTCAGCATTGTCAATTGATGCACCAGACAAGACAGATGGATTAATTCTAACATTTGTTGACTGTCCTGGGCACAATTCCTTAATTAGAACAATTATAGGAGGCAATTTGATTATTGACATGATGATTCTTGTTGTTGACATCCAGAAAGGATTTGAGCCTCAAACAGGCGAGTGCCTTATTCTCGGTGAGATCAATAAGAAGCCTATGATTGTTGTGCTTAATAAGATAGACATGATTGAAGAGAGTAAGAGAGATACAGCAATAGAGAAAATGACTAAAAAAGTATCAAAGACATTAGATGCGACGATATTTAAAGAAACTAAAATCATTCCTGTGTCTGCAATTAAGAATATTAATATTGATAAATTAATAGAATTAATTAAAGATGAAGCATGCAAGCTAGAATTAAGGAGACTTAATGATGCACCATTTTTATTCGCTTTTGATCACTGCTTCTCGATTAAAGGATCAGGCACGATTCTAAGTGGAACAGTCTTACAAGGAAGCATAAAAATTAATGACAATATCCAAATCCCGAGCCTTAAAATTGATAGAAAAATCAAGAGCATGCAAATGTTCAAAAAGCCAATCGAAAAGGCAATTTCTGGCGATCGTGTTGGAATTTGTATCACCAACTTTGATTCTAAATTATTAGAACGTGGATTAATATGCAATAAAGGCACTGTCGAGACATCGTACGCAACAGTCATACAACTAAATCGCATTAAATATTTCAAACGTGACATCAAGTCTAAAGCCAAATTCCATTGTTCAATTGGTCACGAAACAGTCATGGCTACAATCATAATTTTCTCAAATGATAGCAATGAATTTGATTTTGAGTCTGAATATCAGTATGAAGACATGATAATTGAGAATGATGATAGGAACTACTTTGCACTTATTGAGTTCGAACATCCAGTACTGATTTATGATGATATGCTGTTGATAGCATCTAAATTGGATACGGAACAGACGAATGTCTGTCGATTAGCTTTTTATGGAAATGTTCTCGTTAAGAATTCATCAACTGACAAGAACAGCAACGAAAGTTACCTCCAGAGACTTAAGATTTATAAGGAAAAGTCACGAGACGGAAATGTTCAGCGACTTGTTAACAACTATGAAATTATAGTGATTAATCTATTTAAGAAGGAAACAGACAGGTCTAAATTCGAGAGAATGAAATGCAGCTTATCAACAGGTGAAGTTGGCATCATTTCAGGATCTTTTGGACAGTCGTCAAAAGTGAAAGTACAATTTTCTAGTCCTTTATGTCAGGCGACAATCGATTCCATCAAGAGCTGTAAAAGTGACATTAAAGTTCATCTGTCATTCAAGAAATTTATATTCGATAAAAATCATCGAATGGTTCAATAAATACATTGAAGGGGTCCCCTTTTTGAAATTTTCAATTTTATCAAATTATCGACTTTTATTAGATTTCATCATTTTTCAATCTCAATAAATTACATTATAATATTATTTTTTGTGGAATGATGGAAACTATGAAGAAAATTATTGTTTCATGTTTCAGAGATATATTCTTGAAATTTGATAATTTTAAAAAATATTGACATCCATCTATTTTGTTTTATATATTGGGAAATAAATATCAATCTTGTTTATTTATGTACTGTAAGTATCTGTCACTGACGTTAAGAAAATAAATAATATTAAGAAAAAAAACAGGAAATTTTTTAATAAAATTTGGCTGATATTGCAGTGTTGTTGGTATTTTATGTTTCATGTATAAATATCTCTTCTATTTTTTTGATTTTAATCTATTAACGATAGTGGATTTCTCATTTTTATGCAATATATTTTTCATACTTTGGGGATGAAATGCTTCAATCTTGATAAACGTGGCTGTTGACGGTTATTTAACGGTTCATTTTTGAATTTACAGACAATCATAGGATTTGTCCTGCTGGAGCGAATTCAAAATTCAAAATTTTAAAACCCGTTAAGATTCAAATCTTTTTTGACTGTTGAAAATTCAAACATTTAAAATCGGAAATTAAAGCATTTCATCCAGAAATTCCATATAATTTTATTAAGTTTGACTAGAATAATAATTTTTTGATTAATTATTTTAAACATTTAAAATATAGTTTATCTGAATAGGTAAGTATAATGTGTGTACGTGTCTTTTATGTGTAACCATTTGACATTCTTAGGAAGATAATTGTATTAATTTATCATAAATTTGTATCTACAAAAAGAAAATTCAAGGAAATAAAATATTGCATAAATTGAATTGATTAATTAAGTTAAGATAAATCCGAAAATTCTGTCTAATTACTGTTCCACATCTTGAGGATCTACAAAAATAGTTTATTTTTCTATCTCATAATTTTTTTATGCTTTATGCTTTTTTTCTTATCATTTACAGAAAATCCAAAGAAAGAAGAGAATTCAAATTTGTAGATTCAATGATCTATTATTATGTACACACACACGAGAAAGTAATCATGCACACGTCTTACTCACTCTTCTTTTTTAATTAAATTTTTGTTATAAAATCATAAAACAAAACCTGAACAGCATAAAATTTGATGTGACAAGTTTTTCTTATGCTTGACAGTCGTTTTGGCTTTGAAACAGATAAATGCCGCACCAAATGTTAATGCTGTTGACATAAATTAGAGGTTTTCCAAAGAAGAAAGTTTCCACTGAAAAGCTGGGTTTAAAATTCATTAAAATTTATCTTGTCTAATAAGTATAAAATTTATAGTCCAATATCCAGCACATCCAATGATACCCTCAAACCATGTGCAACGTACAACTTTTGTCATTCATCTCAAAACTGACTATTCTTGCACAATGTCATTCCAAAGTCGTACACAGCACACGACTATCAACACTATTCATTCATTTCTAATCTTTAGCATTCATAAATGTCCTTATGATGATTTTTTGACGATTATTAATCCATAGGATCATTTTCTATAGTGATTACTTTCACGTTTTAACTTAAAATCTTTAAAATTGTGTTATTTAGAGCCAATCTGAACTTTCACAATCATACTTGTCTTCACTTTCCCCATTTTTAATTAATAAATACACAAGTCTTGCCTTACATACAGGCAGCACATCAAAACATTTCGCTTCTCATGTCCATTTTTTTTTTCAATTATTTGAGATCAAAATATCGTTAATTATCTTGTCAGCTAATTTAAAGAATAATGAAGAGAATTAATACAACTATTAACAAGACGCTGAGAAATAAAATTGCCATCCATTGACGCCTATCGTTGTTTGATAAATGTAGCACTTTACCAACTTTCTTCATTGTTGCATCAAGTTTTGAGTCTGTTGCGTCCAGTTCATTTCCGAATTCGTCGAGCATACTGCAACAAGGATAAGAAAATGTCTTAAGTGACGGTTATTTAACGAACATTCAAGATTTGAATTCATAATTCTTCACAGAGCGAATTCAAAATTTGAAAATTTCTGACCCGTTAAAATTCAAAACATATTTGGCAGTAATAAATTGCAAGCAACACTCCACCCCAAAAATATCACTTACACAGCTTGTTCGTCAATCTCAACTCCAATTTGTCGACTGACGGTTTTGAGTGTTCCTATCGAGTCACTTAAGACATCAAGCTGTTCATCTTGTGATTGCAGCATTCGTTGTTGAATCGAAACAGTTTCACCAAGGAATGGGCTGTCGCCATTGAAATTTCCATGATGATTAGGACTGTCATTTAAATTTTCGAGCTTTTTGTATTTTGTACCGTGATGTCGTGCAGCTGCCATAGTACTCATTAAATTATTTCCAATTGAGTTATTTAAATTATTATTAATAATATTTGTATTATTAGCTGTGGCTGTATTTATTGGCGATGGATCGTCAAGTAATGGTTGTATCGCTGTTATATCCTTATCACGATTCTTTAAGATGCTTATTTTATCTTTCATAGACTTAATTTCATTTTTTGTAGCATTTATAAAGTGCCGTCGCTGATTAAGTTCCTGTAAGTCGACTTTTTGTTTGGGATTCTTTTCAGCAATAGCAATTGTATCTTCCAAGTCCTCTAAATCCCATTCAATGGATCTTAATGAGTTCCTTAATTCTGTTGTTGTATATTCAAGATCTGTTGGATCACTGGTATCGTTCTGAAGCTCACGATAGCGCAAAAACAGTCCGCGAGTTTTATTTAGTCCTTTAAAAACTTCACTGTAAAATAATTGTACACGATATAAAATCAGTGAAGATACACAATACACAAAAAAAAAAGCCAAGGTAATCAAAAAATAAAGACTTTCACGATATTTTACAGAAGAAACAAAAAAATCAATAATTTTTTTTGGATGAAAAAATAAAGAAAAATCTGCAAATAAAAAAAGATAAAAATAACCAATGAAATGATAAATAATTAGGGAAATTCCAATTCTCCGTTCTTACACTTCACATTTTAAATATAAATCTGCAGAAGAATTCATCACAAATGGTACGAAAATTTAGAAAAATTAAGATTTTTATCAGGATATTCAAATTCACAACATTTTACCCACTTATTTACGGTAAACATGAAAATTCCCCACTAAAGCCCTTATTGCCCCATGTTTAAAGGAAATCAAAATTTAAATTTTTCGTGACTGTTATTTTTATCTTTTGTGTTTTGAGCTTCATTATGGAATTTTAAGTTTCTTTTTATATGACTTATTAATATTAGGGGTTCAATCCCAGGCCATGTCTAATTTTCGAAGCTCTTTTCCCATTTCACCGTTCTAGTTACGAAGCTCGATTCGTGTGCTGGGTGTAGTTTTGAGGTCTTTGGCACAGAATCTGCCTCCTTTGCTAGGCATACAAGGATATACTGCAATGTGCAGAGCTTGCAAGTGGTTCGGATCCCACTATAAACTGTAGGTCTAAAGGGTGTGGTACAATAGATTCTATTCTAATTTGAATCGCAGTGCCTCCAGCTGAAAGGCTGGGCCCTTCACACATTATTATTATTACTAGGCTATCCGGAGGCGCCTGTGGCTTATCAGGGTTAAAATTTGATTACTATTATGTAAATAACTGTAAGACGCAAATAACCATAATGTTTTTAAGGTCAATCCTACCACAAAACTTCACATGGCCTCACAAACCCCCTCAAACTCGGACCCCCTTAATCCCTCAATAATTTTATAAATGGCTTCACAAAACTTCACAGGGCTTCACATACCCCCTCGAACTCGAACCCCCTTAATCCCTCTAAAACTTTATAAATGGCTTCACAAACCTCCTCAAACTCGGACTTAATCCCACAAAAATTTTATAAATGTCTTCACAAACCCCCTCAAACTCGGACCTCCTTAATCCCACTAAATTTTTAATTCCCCCGAAACCCACAGTGTCTTTTCACAAAGTTTCGCATGGCTTCACAAAACTTCACATGGCTTCACAAAATTTTATATGGCTTCACAAAATATTCCTGACACCAAACTTTTCCCACAAACCCCCTCAAATTCATTGGCTTCATACGGTTTCACAAAATATACCTGACACCCCCCTTGCCCCCAATCCCCACCTGACACCCACTTTGTCACTCCCCCCACAACTGACACCAACCTTGTCAGCACCCCTCAAATCATTGGCTTCACACGGCTTATATAGCACAAAATATATCGACACCCACCTTTTCCCCACCCCCCACCTGACAACCACCTTGTCAACACTCCTTATATTTTTGTCTTCACACGGCTTCACAAATGTCTTCACATTGCTTCCGTTCCAGAGTCAGTGAATCAGTGAGTTGGGCTTTTATATATTAGATTATTATTATATGACTTATTTAATTGGGAGATCTTTATTGTTCCTTTTTCTTTCCTAGTTCTTTACTATTTTAATCGTGTTGAGTTTGCCGCTAAAATAATCGAGTTCAAATTTTTGAACTTCAACTTTTGAATTTACATTTTCCGTTATTTTTTAAACTCAAAATATCCTTTAAATGTTCTTTTTATTCAAAAGTTAATTTTACAAGGCATGCATTACTTAAAGGAGGCAATTATACTTACTGATTATCCATCATAGCTGAATTTAAGGACATCATCATCAGTTTGGAATATAAAGCACTGAGAATATTTCAAGAGATGATTTTTAATCGCGTTAATTATATAAAAATAAAAGTTTTCAATTTAAAAATCAATCTCAAAGGCTTCTTAAACTTCAATTTAAATTCAACGGCAATTGACCTTCCCCTAAAGATCTACAAAAGCTCATGGCTCAATTTAAGACAAAATAAGATTTACACATAATTGCATTGACGTTATCTTAAGCATCTCACGATTATTATTATTATCCAACAAGTACAAAAAGTGATTAATAGTGCCATAAAATCTCTATTCTTGCCATCCATCGAGTAGTATGAGCTATAAGAACTTGAGTTCCATACATTATGAAAATTTATATGCAGATGAAATTCTTTTGTGGCATGGAAAATTGAAAACTTTTTCTTGTGGTCGACAAACTACTTCAAACTCAACCAACAGCACATATTTTTTAAGGGATTTTTTTTTCTCTCATTTATAGATATGAAGTAAGGAACCATATTCATATGATAATGAATGTGTTGAATATGAAGTGGCTAATGAAAATGTGAAAAAAAAGTTTTTCTCAATTTTTTCTTCCTGTTTTTCAATTCCACATGAGAATATGTTTGTGGTCATGCATTAAGAACGTCTGGTCAGAATTATTTTTATGCTTCCTCTGTGGTTGATGCGTTTAATTTATTTTGAATTTGTGGCAGTGGTGCTTGATAAAATCTAATTTTGTAGCTTGAATGACGTATTTCTAACATTTGGATTTTACTTCCTCCTTTAATCCGTTTGTGAATGCTTCAACTCAACTCATTGGAAGTAATTAATGCAACTTTTTACTATGCTGAATACCTTCTATTCTGTGCCAAAAGACAGACATAATAAAGCTGTATTATTGAACTGCTTTTAATTTGTTTTTTCGTAAGGAAGGATACACTCTGGCTTAATGATAATTTCCTATCGTAAAACAAAAAACTTTTTTGAGTAGTTGCTCTTTGTTGAGAAAGAATTATTGCTTTATTCTAGCCTAAAAGGCATTTGCAAGTCAAAGTTCTTATAAAGCAGTATGAAGATAGTTCGTAAAGTAAAGGTGATGTTGATCTATATGATTGCCTATGGAGCATAGATCAAGCAAAAGGTTACGCTAATCAAGCTTAGGGTGTCAGTTATTTTAAGTCATTCAATTCTAAGCGATACTGGTCTAAAATTCCATTTCTGTTTCAACTTCCTTAACTCCGAAAAGACTCTGATTCCATCCCCAATCCCAATATCCAATTAACGACCCATTGAATTTAAAATCCAAAACCAAACGAATCTGTCGACATTTCAGCATCTGATTTCCAATGTAAATTCTAGCACTGCCAGATTTTCTTTCAATTAAGTTTTCCGCTCAAGTATAAATTTTCCTTTTATGCACTTTTCCTATCTACTCCACAAATCCTCTCATTTCGGCATTTTAGTAAAGTAATTGCTATACTTTCTGCATCTTAATAGATGCATATAAACGAGCATTTTCCTTTTGTATACAAAACTTGATTTAAAATAGCAAAATATTTTACATAAATTCGGATATAAAAGTTATATTCAAGGTACATCCAATGCATCTGCAAAGTAGCAATCACATAATTGAATCTTGGTAGAGAAACTTCATCCCAGGAACTTTAAATTTAATAAAAGCAAAAAGGATAGATTGACCTGAACATTGTCAATAATGAATTTACACAAAATGTTGTTCCAATGACTTAATAAAGGGTCACCTTCCTTGTTTATGGATAAAGTTAAAAGTTAATTTAATTTGCATAAAATTTAAGTCTGTGAATTTTCTTATTCAGCATAACTTGATTATTGTGAATGCTTCAGTAAAAGGGAACGTTTGGAACGAACCAACCCAATAGGATAAGGCATAAAATTCCCATTGAAGCGTTTCCGAGAAAGCGAATACTTAAAGGAATGAAAACTCATCATTATACTGCTTATTATCCTACTCATATGCATGTCGAATGAATAATTGTATAAAGATCACGAGGTATGAAAGCATATTACGTCTGCCTTGAATTTTAATAAGTAGTATATGACAAAATATCTGCCATATTTCCTATTTCGAGCCATAGAATATGTAAAATTTTAAATTCGAGTACTTAGAGTATTTTATGTTGTCATACAAGTTCCATTTCATGTACAAATAATCCGTGAAAGAAGATTTAATGAACTCATAACAACATATTTAAATATTCATTTCTAATGAACCCCTTTATAACTTACTACTTCCATAATTTATTACGTATGTGTCACATTAAAAAATATTTATATGATAGGAACGTGCAAAACATACATTTGTACTTAGAGATGCATATAGGTTGGAGTTTTTGAATTTTTAATATTTCTAAGTTGGTGCTGGATTTTTTTTTTTAAAGAATTGGGTCTGACCATTTTCATGCTATAAAGCCTCTTAAAGAACTCTTCAATGAAATTTCTAACGGTTTTTAAAATTTTAAAATAATATTCAGAGAAGTTTAAAAATTCAAAAATTAATTTATTAGGATTTGCAAAATCCTAGTTGAAAAGAGTTCATTTAAAGAATTTAATTAAACGCAAATGAACACAAAAAAGGTGCTGGATTTATTCCACTAATAACTTAGAAATGTTAACATCTCTGATTGCATGCTTTTACATGGAAATTAAGTGCTTCAAATGTGAATAAACATGCTCATCTAGTGCTCCTCTATTGAAGCATCTACGTGATTCATTTTGCATCCACTTTATGATTTCCCTTTGCAACCATGAAGAGGATGTAGATCTGTTTACAATTTAGATGGTACTAAATGCATGTAGTGTGTAAATTGACATCTTATTTGAAGCTGTTATTTGTGTTCAATGCCGTAAAACATTTGTGTACCAGACACAAACGTCGAATGGAGAATTCTATTGAATTGCTGTCCTTTTGAAAGATTTATTGCTGAATTTTATTACGTCACTAAAAATACTTGTGGGGAAACACACATCAACATCCATCCTTCCCCGAACCTATCTGATACACACATACAAATAAATTGATAAGAACAAGAAGAGATTATTTGCGATCAATTCATCATTATAAAACGTCATTATTCATTTGTTTTTTTTGTTAAGTAAGGAATAAAAATATTTGCTAGACTTAAAGGGATGTGTGCATGTTAAAGTGAAGAGGGTGGGATGTAGAAGAATATAGACAGTTTAATAACCGACTATTAAGCGGCTTTTATTCAATTCTGTAAGGAATTGCTCATACGAACTTTTAGTATCCTTGAATTATATTATTTATTGTACGTTTGGGATGATAGACAGACAAGTGATTGCTCTTCAATGTTTTAAGGCATATTTATCTTTAAATAACTCAGACTTGAAGATGGCTTAGTTCCGTTGTTGCATTCATGAATGATGGCTTTAATCGTGTATTTTAAAGATTTCTTCCAAAAAAGTTCAAAAAGCTCAAATTACTTCAAAAAGCTCAACTTTTCTCAACGGATATAAAATTGTCAAAAAGCTCTGATCCCATTAAAAAGCTCAATTTTCTGAAACTTTTATTAAAAAATTCAAATTTAAACTTTTCAAATTATTCAAATCAGTTGAAATTAAAATTGCTAGAAAATTGTCGACCATCCCTTTCTGATTCCAATCAAGCCAATTGCCAGTTAATCAGCTATTCACAACAACAAGACTATCACAATAAAACCAATTTTGACAAGACAAGCAATTTACTAAAATTTTAAATTATCATGATTCTTAAAAAATAATTCAATGTATTCCAACAGCTGTTTACTACATCAAATCCTTGAAGTCTCACACAATTCTTTGAATGAATCGAGTACAAAAGTGCCATTGATATTCTTTAGATCATGAAAGAACCATAAGTATTCACTTACAAAACATGTCACAAATCGTCTTACCAACACAACAGTGTCTGTATAATGCAGAAGTAGTTTTATAAAATCATGAAGCTTAAGAGAAATTTTTCCAAGTCATGTCTCGATATTTTTTTTCTCGCATATATTCCCACGACTCAAACACTGAATTCTCAATACGGAAGACGAAAGGCTTCATGATCCATCATGATATATAATGTGCTTGAAAACATCTTGAAGATATTTCCTTTGGTATGTAAAGTATTTGATGCTTTCAAAATATTTTTCTCCCATCTCCTTCCTTCATCCTTTATGCTGACATACATACTTCGCATCCTTCATTCATTCATCATGAATCAAGCTTTGTGTCACTATACGTATACACATATTTTTTGTGGTATGTAGAACAATTTATTTATATTGTGTCTGAAGGGATTTTTAAGAATTGAATGCCTTGAAAAATTATGTAAAATACAGCCACAATTGTGGTTCCGTATTGAATGTCAGGCATTTAATTTATGCTAAATAACATAATCCCATTAATCAAAAAAAAAAACTCCTCCTTATCAATTGTTGTCATTCATTCATGATCAACAGGTGGTTCGTGTGGCATGTTCAATGCTCAATGCTGCAATCAGCAATCGAGCAAAAAGTGTTAAAACATTCAACATTTTCTTTCCGTTGTTGTGTGGAAAATGAGTTTTTTATTCGTATTATTATTTTTTCATTTTATCAGAGGAAAATTTTCTCAGCTCTGAAAAAATTCCTCAGTCATTCATTAGATCGCATCGCGTATTGTACGGTCTAGAGTTCAAGAGAAAGAACAAAAAAAAATTATTTATTGATATTTTTTAAGAGTAGAATTTTTTTTTGTAGTTTATTTCTGTGAATAAATTGTGATTATTTATATTTATGGAAATTAGTTAAGCCTTAAATAAAAATTGAAGGAATTGCTCTCTCGTGATGACATATCAAGTGTGTGAAAATTAATGCCAATAATAAAATAATTAATCACTCATAATGTCCCATAAATTTCGGCTTATTATTTAACTACAAAAATAAGACGAAAGAATTAATAAATCATGATTAATGTCCTGGAAATGAATTAAAATAAAAGAAGTTCTATCTTGTGTAACTAAATTCTTTGTTTGTGCTGAAAAGAAAGTTTATAAGAAAATGAATGAAAAATTATCACAAGCGTGTTCAAATGGCAGAGATTCACCGTCTTGAATCATAAATCAGCTAGTCAAAAAAAATGTCAAATGTTGAAAATTTAGTACTTTGTGTTGAACAGTTACCACCTTAAAATTAAATTTTCTTGGTTTTCCACCCCGGGCGTACCTCAACTTTATGGAAACTTTTTGCCATAAATCATATAAAGATTCTGAAGAAGAAATGCAACAGTTGAGGATTCAATTTTTTTTGATCGGTTTTAATCGTGAATTTTAAAGATTTTGCTTTTAACTTTGATTCTGCTTTTTTCGACTAGGAATATTTGAAGTGATTGAATTTCATGAATGTGACTGGATGGCTTGATGCTAATTTTTCATTGAAATTCCGAAAATTCAATTAATATGAATCGAATTTCCCATTAAAAAGTGACAAAAGAATTGAATTTAATAAGGTTTAGAGTGAGCAACTGGACCTTGGAGTTAAAATTAAACCATTTAACTTCAAAAATCACTACTTAGTTGATCCAGTATAGATAATTTAAGAGTTTTCATGAAACTTTTTTGGAATAATTATTCTTTCGCTGGATTCATAAAATTTCAAAACTTCCTCAATCTAAAGAAAATCAAAGTCTAATGAAAATATCCTCTCAGGTGTTACCCTCTTGGAATCTAATTAAATTGATAATCCTTATGAGTTTAGATATTAAATATTAAGAAGAATTCAAAAAAATTTTCCAAGCATTTCCAAACATGAACAAAATAATAAGACTTAAAAGCGGATTTGCAAGCTAATTTACACCCTAATTTTCATGTTTGCTGTCTAATTAGCAAAACCCCTAATTAATATAATAAGCCCGTATACTAATTTCAAGAAAGATTTCCTAAACAAATTCGGAGTAGAATCAAAATTCACTTCCATCAATGCTCAATTTAAAGCTAGTTATAAAATATTCTTTTGAGCTCAAAAACTCATCATTGAGAAAATTCCAATAGAAATAAGGTGGAATTAAATTATTTTTCAATCACTGTATACGAAGCATGTCTTTATTATTAAGGTTTTTTGTCCTTGTGTATAGGAACTCGTGAAGTTTATCAAATACTCAAGAAGAACTTTTTTGGTGTTCAAAAATTTTCCTGAAGAAAAAATTCGTAAATATTTTATGAGCTTATGAGACATATTGAGAATCAATTTATTTTTGGAAAACATCCGATTATATTGTATGTCGATTGATGAAATGAGATGCAATTTGAAAAGAAAATTGCGAAAATATGCAGAAAAACTTGAGCTGTTTTTTCAACAAATAAAATTATTCATAAATCTTGAATTGAAGATACTTTTATGTATGTTTCTGAATCCATATAGACTCTGATAATATTTGGGAAAGCTTTTTACAACATTTTTATTAAATCTATAAAGAATCATTTGAAAAAGTAAAATGTTTTGGAATATTCAAGAAAAAGTTTATGATTAACTTTTTTCAAATCCTTTTTCTACTTCTAAAATTATTTATTAAGGGTTTGTTCATTTTGTGATGTCTATCAAATAATAGGATAGTTGAAAATATATCCTTCCAGTGGCGTCTGTAGATAAAATCAAATTCTTCTCGGCAGGAAAGATTTCTTCAATTTGTTCCTCATAGGACCCTTCCCTTGAATTGAAAATCGATGTAACATTCTTTTAAGGACAAAAACATTTAAGAGTAAAGATTAAAGTTTTATTTTAAAATACCGAGCGAATTGAAGGAATTTCTACTCTCCAGCTAAACCCTCGCTAGACATCATCAGCTCATAATCCCCAAATCCCCTATAAATTATCAAAGCATAAATTCAACAATAACAACTTTCTATTTACTTAAATCTTGAAAAAAAGAGAGTACAATCAACAGATTGGACGAATCAAATTAAACCTTCTTTCCAAGAATCTGGACATGTTTTAGGACAATCAAAAAGATATTCTTACAGACATAATAATCCTTGATTATAATTGCCATTCCAAAACATGCTGAGGGCGAAAAGATTCTTACTTAAAAAAAGGAATCTGTGCGTGTATAGATTTAATTTTCTTCTTATGCGTTTATGGAACGGAAGAGATATCATCATAGAGGTGAAAAAGTTAAATGATTTATAACGCGCTGTGCATTTTCTCTTCTATTCCCATCTATATAATACAATAATCTTATTACAAATATTCTTCTTGTTTGTTCCATTTGAGTATAAGAGTCTTATAGATTCTTATCTAGGGTAGGAAACTACTTAAACTACAAGTCATCTGTCTTCTTAGCATTTTCATCAAAGTTTTTAACAATTCTTCATCTTGTTTTATAGTTTCTCTTTCTTCATTCCTCAGATTGCTATAGATTATCGCAAACGTTGCGTAAAATTTCATTAGGCACCGACAAAGCAATCCTCTTAATAACATAAGGACGAAAATTGCTTACACTTTGATTTATAGATCCAAACTTTCTCAACCACTTGAATAAATTGATTTAAAGTTTTAGCTCAGACTTCTATTTGTTGCGTGAGAATTATCTCTAATGTTTTCTTTCGTAAGTGCCTCAATTTTTCATGATTTTGTGCTGATTTGTGTGATGGAAAGCTTTTGTTTTGTTTTGTTGTATGTCTTTAAAGGAAATCGTATAGAAATTTTTATTTACAGAGCTTTACATTAAGTCTGCACTTAATTGAATGGCTGAAGACAAAAAAAAAGTTGCACTAGACAAGCGTGAAGCTTCATTTTGACCTAGTGCCACTAATTCATATCCATTGCCAATTGGGTAAGCTATCACGATTCTAATTTGTGTTCGTATTGAGTGAAACTTGATAGTTATATCCAACGGAGTAATTACTATAACCTTAACTAGTGTCATAACTAGAAACAACCCTAAAGTCTCGTAATAGCTAATGTCCAGTAATTTCTGATAGCTTTTGATTCAATTGATAATAAATGCTCAGAAAAAAAATCCTCAGAAATCTCAAAAATTTCAAGCATCCTCGATAAAATATCAGATTTCGTTCATAAATCCCCAATAAATCACAAGACGACTCACGCCAATAAAGCAATTTCCACGAAAATTTTCCAACTCTTGTCGTGGTATTTTTGTTCGCTTTATGCTGTCATATTTAATTTTGTAGGAGTATCTCAAATGAAATTTATTAGATCTAAAAAGCATAGGCATAGAATTAAGGTTCTCATACTTTTCTTATTAATTTTTCACTAGTGCTTTAAAGACGATAAGAATAATAAGAAGACATGAAAAAATTTTAAACGTGATTAAAATGCTGAAAGGCATAGTAAGTAAGTAAGTTGATTGATTGTTGGAAAGTCTTATGCTATCACATCATAAAGAGACTAGAATCATTTGTTAACTTTGGCTTTACGTAAATTCCTTAATCATCTACACGAATGACTTTACAAAACTCAATTTTTCTCCATGCCTATAAAGTCGTTCCTCTCCTCAATTTACGATCCCTACTTCTTTTTTGTCCTTTTTTAATGCGATTTATTTTTCCATTGCTCTTTTATTATGATACTCATACACGTCAATACATTGGCAATGATTATCATTAGACTCTCTATGGAAACTTTTGAGAGTCGCTTGATGATAAGGGAGGCCAAGCATTTTTATTATTCAATATAGGGGATGATTTGAAGGAAAAAGAGAGAAAGGACGAAAATAATAAAAAAGCTTATTACTACAGGAGCATCTGAGAGGATCATGAGAATATAAAAAGAAGATTTTAATAGGAGGCAAATGCCCATGCTAATTACAGAGGAAATGATAAGGATGAATAATATTTTATCATTTTAATTTTTTCCATGAATGCTCATTTTTGGGGTCGTTTAGATGTTATGCCACCATAATCTCCCTCCCACCTCCCAATGCCATTAAAATTCTGATCACATTCCTACTTAAGCTACAAAATTGAGCCTCTTCCATAAACATCCTGAATTTTTCGACCGACCCCTTACCAAGAATTCCAAGCTCTTCCTTGATTTTTCAGTATGAATAAAATTAATTTTATGTTTTGGAACGACAGCTTTTTTTTTGCTTTGAGCATCTGAAATTATTCATTTTTTAACCCTCATAAGTATATTAATTGCATTACCGCTGTCAAAAAAGACGGTAAAATATTCTTCTTGCTTCCCAGGCATTATATGTTAACAACCCATAAAAGCGGTTTTGTGGCTTTTTAATAAAATTTTCTCTGGCCCTAATACGTATTAATTGAATTTGAGTTTGGGAAAAAAAAAGATAATCGAATGTGTCTTAAAGCACCAAAAGTTATGGTTTTTCTGCTGGATTTTTTTATTATTGAAATGAGAAAATTGAAACTTTCTTAAAGACAACAAATTTAATGATCCAAATTATCGTAAAAATCAACAAGTCGCGATTAAATTTGCAGACGAGAAAATGTTCATTTACATGTCAGAAAATTTAATTATCTCATTTGAAGATTGAGTGTATTTTAACTTTTTCTATGTTTCAGACTTGCTGATTAAGATTTATCTTGGATTTTTTTCTGAATGTTTGAATTTGAATGTCTGCGAATTATTAATGTTTATTTGAATCCACAATATACGAGGATTTTAAGTTGTATCTAGGATTAAGAATGAAGACATTCCTTTAGAATTTCGGAATTAATTCCCATAAAGATTGTTGACGTAAATATCAAGAAGTTTTAAAGAACACCCTTGAACTGCTCTTTACAAAATCTAGCAATGCTAAATCTCTTAAAGGATTAAAGATCCAATTTTTCAAGAGTTTCAACGAAACAAAAAAATAATGGTCCTCAACTTTATCTCTTCAATCTTTCCTTAATATCGATCAATAATGGTCCTTAAGTGAATCAATCATCAAGAGAATAATTTTGATTTAAAATTTAGATCCTTAATCCACAGATAACGAGTTTTGGAACCGATAAAAATAATTTAAGGGATTTAAAAAAAATTTTTTAGTAGGCACAAAAAATTAATATAAATTAGAAATATAAACTCAAAGAAATGTCGGAAACATAAACATACACACATACGCAGGAAGCAATTATGAATAAAATTTGATAAAAGCTTTTAGTACAGTCTTTTGTTTGCCTAAAGCTTTTTAAAGCTTGTTGTAAAATTTTTTTGTGCCTCCTTAAATCCCACAAAAATGATTGAATGATTTTTATTGCTACCCACACATACATACGAATTGATTTTACAGTAATGCAATGTTCTTTTGTTTTCTAAGCTTTTGTTGCTTTTAAACTCAAAAGCTTTTCAATCATCTAGAACAGTATTGAACGTGTTCATAAATTAATTCCAAGCTTGTTCACCGAACAAAGATTAGTGTTCTTTGAATAAAAATGTTAAAATGTATGATATGTGCTGTGGAGTACATCGACGATTAAACAATAGTTGTTTTAAAAATATAACGTGGTAATGACGACAAAGCTTTTGTAAAAGTTATTAAAAAGTTTTCAGACTGAGTAAAATTTTTAATTAAGTTTTGTGCTTTGGAAATTAATGAATTCTGAATGATGGTGCTGAACTGAGATTTTATGCAAAATGAGCAGTTTTGTAAAGTAAATCAAAGTTTAATTGTTAAGATAAAATGGAATATAGTTTGATTTTTGGTGAAGTTGCCTATCAATCAACAATTTTAAAACTAATTTCGTTCATCCAATCAATATAGCAGTTCCAAAAGCCTATGTCTACATCCAATCATAAAATCCAGTTGAAAAAAAAACCTTAAAAATTTGAGATTGCAAGCCAAGAAGCAATAAAAATGTAAATTCTGTACAAAATCTGTTGTTATTTATGACTGTGCTGATCAATTTTTCATTTCATTCAAATCAATTCCATGATTTATTCAAGAGAGAATAACACAGACACCCAGAATGGGACATAAAATTAAGTAATCTTTAAAAATTATTGATTTTATTTCTATGTATATTTTATGTAGTGTTATTTGAGTTTAATGGCAGTTCAAAGACCATTTCCTTCTATGCTACATACATTCGTTTGATTATAGTATAATGTATCTTACTTAAAGCAACCCCATATAATATTTGATTTATGTAAATCCCATATAATCTTTCTAATATCGCAATCTTCTATAGTATCTTGAATGAATGTCCCGAGAGCAGTAAGCAAATGTATATATGGGTTATATGTTTTCACTATCAAGAATGTATTAAATTCAACTGAATTATTCTAGCATTCGCTTACAATTTCAAGTATTTTTTAGTAGTTTCCTGAAGACTGACTCCATTAAATTGCGATTTTATGTTAGATTTGTCATCAGTGGCGTTTTTCTTCATGTGAGAGGAATTTATGGTCTTTTTTCCATCCTATAACTTTGTTTACAACTATTCGGTAATATCAAGAATAATTTATGTATTCCTTAGTGCAAATGTGAACGGAAAAATATTTCAATGCCAAACTTTTCACATAGAATCGCTGATTAATGATTCTTAGGAAGTAGAATTAAATAGATTATGGAGTGAGCTCTTTGTCATAAATAAAAGTTTTGTTAAAGAGAAAATTAAACTTGAGAAATAAAAGAATAAAAAAAATTGTGCTTGCAGTGGAATTACTGCTCATGATAATGAAGGCATGACGCATTTTGGATGATAAGTTTTGAAATTTCAAAAATAAACCGTTAAAAACTTTTTCGAAAATTTATAATTCTCAAAATTCAGTCACAGCTGACCAGACAATAGCAAAATCACTTTTACCGAAAAAAGTGCCTAAAAATTGTCATTCAAATAAGCAAGTATCCATGAACCTGACATAAAAGGCATGTAATTGAAATAAAATTTGTGGGTCGCTTCTGTTCACAAAAAAAAAAGCTGAACAAAAACAATAATAAGAAGTAAAAGGAAAGGAAAGAAATAATAGGAATATAAAAGAATAAAATTTCCATCACAATAATTTGTGGAAGTTACTTAGCTTTCAAACATTTAGTGAGTGAATGGAACGAAATAAAGAGGAATAAATAATTGAAAGGAACTTTCTTGCATTGTGTATATGTGAAAATGTGTTGGAGGGAAAGGAGAGAGACTGAACCAAATATAGAAAAAAGTTTCCATCGACGCTTATTGAATATCAACTGACAAAAGTGCCAAGAAGAGAAAAGAAGAAAAGAAAAGGAACGAGAAGTGGGATAAGTGGTTGAAAAGTTTAATGTGTTTGCATGCTTTTCCTCAGCAATTTCTACTCAATTGGCACGAAGAACCCCTTTGATTCTTTTCTCTTCCTCTATGATTCGGTTGTATGCTTTATGATATTTAAGCTATAAAATTTTATTATGATTCTCATCTCTCGCCAGAAGCTGTTAACACTTTACAAGCTTGTGATATTACCTCGTATACGACAACAGACGTAATGGTTGAATGAATGCTCTTTAAATTGATATTGTTGTGCCATTTGAGAGACAATCTAGAGCTATAGAATTAAATAAAAGTGCACAAACAAAGAATTTTTTGCTTACTCACATCTTTTTCTTTTTTGTTGAGTTTGGGACAAACTAGGGGGAGAACTACTTGGTGGGGATTGATGTTGAGTTTTTTCATCCTTTATGCTGTAAACTCAGAATATGTATAAGTTCATTAGATGTGTAGGGGGGGATAGAAGAATGTCGGAAATGACACTGAAGAGGTTAGATATTTGCGCTCAAACCAGAAACCCTTAGCTTTAGGTCAATTCATACAGTTGACCCCCAGAAAACATCTCAGACATCTGATTATCATAAAAACTGTGTCAATGCTGTAAAAAGTTTATATTACACTGCCCTTAATTTATTCATATTCATTCACAGCCAAAACATGTGCAACAAATCTTTCTGCCAAGTAGTCCATCGCCCTAGAGTAAAATTAATTTTTTCTTTTTAAACTTAATAGAAGGAAGTAGAAAAGACAAACAACGCAGAAAACAAATAAAATGTGTGTGTAAAAGTTATAAAGTTATTAAAAAGAGTTTTATTTTTTTATATTTTTTTCTTGTGCCAAAAAGAAGTAAAGGAATTAAAAAGAAGAAAAAGTTTGTGCTTGAAGGTAAAGCGTGAAAAACAGAAATTGAGGAAGTAAAAAATTTCCGCCAAGATGGAATTTATTACTGAATTTTTTTACGATAATGCAACGCTCTACGAGAGTACGTTTACATTGGATTATGAGAATTCGACATTATTGGATAATTTAACAGTTACGGAAGTGCCATATGTTCAATATGAAGATCGTTTAGAAACTTACATAATTCCTACAATTTTTGCTCTCATATTCATAATTGGAGTTCTTGGAAATGGATGCTTAATATTGATATTTTTTCGACATCGAACTATGAGGAACGTACCAAATACGTGAGTAAATGCCTTTATTACATTTATCCTTTTTAAGATATTTATTCAAAGAGATTTTAGAATGTGGAAATGACTCAAATTTACAGGTTCCGTTTCACAAAAGATAAAAATCTCTTGCTTATCTTTTACATTATTTTGACGATCCTTAAAAGTCAGACCTCTTTTATATCTTCCTTATTTGACAGCTCTTCATCTTTTTTATATTCAAACGACCATCATTGAATGCTCTAAAGATTTTTAGTGTATCCTTATTGAGATACCTTGCTTCTATGCTAAATCATTCTATCTTATTGGCAGATTGTCTGACTTTCTCATCAGATTACAAATTGATAAATTGATGAAGGTGCTCAAATAATCTTTGAGCAGTAGTACTTGAGTAGGAAGGTGATACCTTAATTGGAGATTATAACATTTGACTTGTCTGTGCATTTATTAGAAAACAAAATTCGCCCAAGGATTAGAGAACTTTGAAAAGAAAATATGAAAAGTATAGGCGGAATTCAATCATGTAAAAAGATACCGAACGCCTCTGTGAAGATTAAATTTTAGGTACATTTATGGAGATGCTACTTTTCAATTAGGTTTTGAGAATAATTGCAATTTAAGTTTTAAATATTTTTGGGTAAATGTCATCAAAATTAGACTTAAAATAGAACACTTTCTGCCTTAAAATAATAGAGTGACATGAAGGAAGCAAGACGTCAATCAAGACAAAGTTTTAGACTTACTTAAACAATATAACAAAGTTTGTTCCGTCATCAGTTTAACCACGCAATATATCAAAGAAATTTAACACCTTCCTATAAAAATGCGTCTTTAACCCTTCAAATAAATATCCAAACAACATCCATTTCCCAACTAGTTTTACTTCTACAAATAAAAATAAAATCCACTCACTTTTATTTCCTTAGTTCCACTGTGGGAAATTAATTTTTTTTTTCGCTTCTGGTGTCTTTTATTCTTGAAAAACATTTCCTTTCCACGCTGCTTTTACTGCCTTTTTGTGGTGCTGTTTGTGATGAAGGCAAAAAGAATTTTCGTTCTATTTTCGGGTGGGATTAAACTTCTTTTTTATCTTCCTCAAGAAAGTAAGAAGTTCAATGTGCTCAGCTCTGAGAATAAAGTTTATTTATCTTTAAGAAGAACTTAACAGGAAAGAATATGCGTTCGTGAGCTGCAAAATGTCTTATTCAATTTCCATTTTTTTTTTTATTACAATATTATTAGGTTTTCGTAATCTTCTACTGGCCTGCTTTATTGTAATAGTTGAAAATTGACGTTGATGCCAGCACAAAGCCATAATGTGATCATCGTCCCGAATCTGTGCGGAGAGCTTGGCTTTCAGGGAATTGAAAAGTTCTTATGAATAAGTAGAAGACTGAAATTTTATTATTAATCCCAGAGTTGGATAAAGGATTGAAATGGGTCGTGACAGAATGACATAAACATCGTTTATTCTTCCCCATTGATGCTTTATAGTCATTTCCATTGTGATGTTGAAAATCTATTGTCATGACATTTATTCTTATTAATTTACAGCTCATTAAATGAGCACCATCACATTGTCAATCACGTGTTAAAAGCACTGTCCTTTATCATTTTTAATCTTATTTTCCACCTCTGAATTCATCAATGCAAAATAACTTTGAATGAAAGCTCATTTAATTAATCGCATTGTTTCATAAAATTCAAAACAATTTGCCGTCCTCATTTCTGCTTAGCTTTAAAGAGCTTAACAAGTATCTTTTGTTCTTTGGAAGTTCTTTCTTATTAATAAGAATAATCAACTCATAAGAAAGTCGATGAACAGAAAGTTTGCTTCTTTTATAACGTTGCTCGAAAGATTAAGAACTTCATAATATTTAGATGATGTTGCTCTGTATAGCAGATCAAGCTCATATAGTGAATATACATGATATTCTTTCCCAAAGCTCGTAATGTCTTGAAAATATGTTTTATAGAATTTTTTATGAATCAACAAAAGTGATTTTAAAAGTTTAAAATCAAGTTGAATCTTTGAGTGTTCTAATCATAGCTAAGGAGTCCTTCAAACATCCCGTAGCACCACAAATTGATTAACTTTATAATAGGATCCTTAAAGATTCAAGAAACAACAACGAAAAATGGAACTTCCTAACACACTCAATCATCCTGAATCATTAATAAATTTTCCTTGTTTGCTAACCATCTACAGGTAGATTATTCCATATTATCACCTTATTAGCATAGCCAGCTTTCGCGTTACAACTAGAAAATTTATGAATGAATCTCTTTAAATGCCAAGGACTTAAATTAAAGACTCCGGATTTACAATAAATTGTCAAATTTATGCGATTCTTTAAAAAATGTCCACAAGCGGAAATTAAGACGTTCCTTCGTTTTTACATTGTAGATTCTTTCGCCCAGTCATGAAAATTTTCATCTCAGCTCGGATAAAAAATTTGCATACAAATGTATTTTCATGACAAAGCTCAACTCTACGTCTTTGCTAAATTGAAATTTTTTTTCTTTCTTAAAACATTCTTGTGAACTGAAATATTTACTTTACAGCACACTGTTTATGACTCTGGGTACGATGACTTTTAAAAACATATTTGACAGATTTTTATTTATTTAAATTGTGTCAAGTTCTCCCCTGGATATTCATTTCTGAAAATCATTTTATTCCGAGTGGCAAATTTGTGAAATTCTGAATAAATGAAATGCTCTTAACACATCTCCTTCCATCCTAATCTTCAATGTAAACAATCTTGAATCTCAATAAATCCATTAAAAAGGACAAATGAAATTACGGACGGTGACCTTTTTTGAATCCCAAAAGCCGATAATTGTTAACACAATCTTATTGTTTTAATATCTACAGAAAGAAGTCCTTAAGTAGCATAGAATGAACACTTCTCGATAAATTTCAAGAGATTTGGGTGCCGGTCAGTAAACTTTTATAAAGTTATATGTAGAAAAAAAGGATTGAAAGTTTTAAGGTAGAAAAATTGATATTTGAGGTACTAGGAAAATTTTAAGCAATATTTCAGTAAGATCTATAATAATCAATTAAATAAAGCTAGGGGTTCCAGAATTCCCGTTCCCGTAAGATTTCGGGAATCGGGAACGGGAACGGGAATGATGTCCGGGAACGGGAATATTCCCGGGAATCAACAAAGAAAAAAAAAAGTTTAAAGCTACACTTACACCATGTATTTTATTTAGGTTTTTAAATCAAATTTAAATTCTATTTCATTTGATTGTCAAATTGATTCTGTTGACAATAATTTCCGTTTAAAATTCAATACTTTTTGGTTTTAGAACAAATCTTAAAGTACGATTTTAAAAAACTGATTGCATTAACGTGCTAGTCTAGCAATCTAGTGCGATATATTATTGGAGATTGAAAAGTTACGTTCAGCTCTTGTAGATGTTGGTGGAATTGATAAAATATAATCTGATAGATTCAAAAGGCATGGTGATTTATGCTGAAACTTGTCGTAATAATCAAAATCTTTACGAATCGTGTCAAATTTATCATTTGTAAGCTTTGAAATTGTAGGTGATGCCATTAATTCTTCAAGATTCAATTTCAGTCGTTCAAATTATTTTAATCCGATGTCAATTAAGTTTATTATTTTGTGGACATCATACATTTAAAAAAATATTTTTAAATACTTTTTCTCTTCGTTTTTCATAAATATATGTTTTTGATTTAAAACACATCAAATTTGAGTTTAATATTTCAGCTCTTAAATTCCTTAACGTATGTTTTCATTATTATAATTTTCTTCTTTAAATTGTAGTTTTTTCATTAAACATACAAAATAAAAAAAAAAAAAATCTAATTTGAATTGTCGGTTTTTTTTGTATGAAAACGGGAATTTCGGGAATATTCCCGACAGATTTTCGGGAAACGGGAACGGGAACGGGATTCCCGTTCCCGGGAATTCCCGGGAATATTCCCGATTTTAGAACCCCTAAATAAAGCTAGACTGAAATCCATAAAAAAAATCCCTATCTCAATCCAATATTGATTGATGATCGATATCTAATTTATTTCCGAAATAAACAAACCTGAGAAATCTACAATTTATTCAAATCGTTTTTATTGAAAAGTTTTTCCTTAACATTTCCCACAATGTGATTAGAAGTCGAATTATGTAAATAAATATTCCATTTCACATCTTTGGATTTGCCAAATAAATCTTCAAAATAATGTTTTTTCGGTGAGCAAAACAAAAGAATTTCAGACTCTATAATAAACCTCTGGCTTTTTTTTCACACAAGTTGCACAACAACAAATGATTTAAACAAAGAATTTCTTCTTCATTCAAAGATTTATAAAAACAGAAACTTGGTCTATCTTATCGAATTTTATCTCAGCTTGAGTTCGTGAAAATTGAACAGGACGGTTTGTGATATGACATTTGATTCATTTATTATTTTGTACCCTATTTTGCATATTTTGAAATATTTATTTATGATAAGTGAACTACATAATGTTATGATATAGTGTGCAGGCAAATAAGTCGACAACAAAAATCAAAAGTGCGATTCTCAGCAACTTTTTTTCTGCTTTGAGAACGTGCTGAAAATAAATATTCTGTAAAATGTTCATAACAACATATCGGTTGTTTGTTGTTTTAAGCCACTAACATGTATTTTTATGATAGGAAGTTCCATGTATAAATTTAATGTATCAATAACATGAAACCTTTGAAGTATCTCACTTACAGACAGGATGGGCAAGAAAATGGAAAAAGGATGATTTAATATGATTAATACGGAACTCATTAAGTATACATATAAAGTTATAATTAATCGTGAGAAGAGTCTCATAGACTAGAACTTTTTCTGGTTGATTGTAAGGTTCACACGAAATTAGACCAAAGTTTTTGTAAAGCATATGTAGACATGTTGTGATCAAGACCTTAATGTTTGACAGCCAGAATACTAGATAATGTCCAGCTCTCAATATTAAAACACAAGCTTAGATTATCACACATGTTCATGATTTATAAACTAAAGATCTACATGTCCTGACTTAGACCGTATCTGAGAGAAGAGTATGTCTCAGAGAGCCTTAGTTTTTATAGAATTTTATTATCAACATTTTACCAAGAACTACGGATAAACAACACTGCATTCTTACATTTTAATAGCTTAGCAATTTTTCACTCTTAATGGAAAATTCATGCTTTATCCGAAAAAAAAATTAACAGGAATGCCTAAAGTGAGGGAGCAAAAGAATTTAATAAAGAAAAAAATCATCGTGTTCTCGACAATGTTTACACAACGATTAAAGTGAAGTGCGAAAACGATGATAATTAGGTATCAAGCGGAAAAAATACACTTTATAAAAGCGTATCAAGCTAGTCTAAACTTTATATTATTTTCATCTCTCAAACATTTTATAGAACATAAATTTTCACACATGTTCTGCATGTACACACATCTTCATTCAATTTATATCGTACGAGTGCTTAGCATTTTCTTCATTTCTCTACTCCTCGTATAAATGAATGTAATGAGTCATAAATGAACATGAAATTTCATGTAATCATAAACAATCTATTCAATTATATAAAACCATTTTTGCTATTTCCTTTAACCTCGATTTTTTAGCTTCTTTGGAGTAAATATTTTGTTATTGTTATTGTAGCATTTTTATTCGTCTATTTTATTAAAGATTGTTGTTTTAGTATTGAACAGATATTAATTTTTCATAGACTATACAAGATCTTAAGAAATTTAAGATTATATAGGTTATAGAAACTTAATTGTAGTTACTTTAAATCAGTAATAAAAATTGCGAGAAATGTATGAAATCTAATCTCTATGATTATTATTAATACTGGTTGCATAATCCTGATGCAATCGAAAGCTTGTCTCCTTTTTAAACATTCGGGCACAAAGTCTCTACTCTTGCGCTAGCATATTTCCATACGAATGGCACGACAAGATATCATTCTGTTCAAACATCACACTTACTCAACAATATTACTATTTTACATATCTTAAAGATACTGCCATGTGGTTGCTAAACACGCACAAAAGATTATGAATAAATTTTATTTCCAATTCTTCTTCTTGACTACTGCTGAATCTGCTTTTGGAATCTTTTTAAAAAGGAAATGCATCTTATTCAAAATTAAAAGCTAAAAATACTTTATGAACCAGAATAAGCGTCATCAACTCTATCTACAGAAACCCCAAATCCAAGCATTGTTATGAAAAAATCTCGTTATTTTTAATTGGCATTTTTGACCTTTAAAAGATATTCCCCAATAGAATAGAATCATCTATTGATTTTTAAAATTAGGAAAACCTTTTAATTAAAAAATTTCAACATCCCGAGATTTTCAGCATTCCTGTCCACAGAGCTTTTATCAGATGACTAAAAATAGAGCACTTAATGTGATTATCTCATAAAAGTCTGAAAACTTTTGTCAACGGAAACATCAGCACAAACTTTTCCTCATACTGCTTTCTACACTAGATCTATATAAAAAAAAAGCAAAGAAAATGAAAAAGAAGCAAAATTGATTTTTTTACATTGATATTAAATCAAGCAAAACAAGCCAGCACACTTTCCCTTAAAAAACTGTAGAGAAAGGTTCGATGTTTAATTTTCCGATCAGATATCAAATTTCTGAGTAAGTCACTTAATAACTCCCTCACTGCCGCCAATTTATGAAGGTCAACCATCGTATAATTTTGATTGATTACATATTCAACACGTTCGCATACATTATGGGCAGGCAGGCAAGCAAAAAAAAAGATGAAAAAAAAATAAAAAAATTATTAATATTGGAAAATTATGTTTACATTATGAAAACATCTCATCACCGCTATGCACACATGGATTCAATATGTGTGGGGTATATTTATCTAATATATACACACTTGTATTATTAGCAATAATTGAAATGGATGAAATCTTTCCGCACATTATAACCATAATCATGGCATATCATTATCATTATCGTCATCTACAAATTATATGTAGACGTGGTTTTATACTCTTTGATTCCTGGAAATAAACTGAATATGGTATAATAAGAGCATCATTAACCTTATTAAATAACTATGAATCATATGTAAACGTATTCGTTGATTTTTATGATGATTTCTTGAGAGAAGGGAAGCATGTTCTTATGAATCCACAAGAATATGGCGGTTTTTGATGAGAACATTAGTTTAAGTTGTGGATTTTATCCATTATGGCATTTTCCTTGCGAGGATATTGAAGTAAACTTATTTTTACTGTATAAAATGTATGCAATCATTTGTATAAGTGGCATTTTGGATATTAAGGTAGGGGGTCAGGCTTATTACGTTCTGCGAGGTTTTAAAGGTATGTCAAATAAGGAAAAGGGGAGGCTTCAAATAAATTATGCATTCAAACAATTCTCATTGATACAATTAAAGCTCTTATGACACAGCATTCTCCGAAGAACTTCGTAGCTTTTTTGATAAAATCTTATGAAAAACTAGGTTAAGTTATTTCTTACTCAACGTTTGCCTTCAAATATTCATGCAATGTTACAAAATAATAGCTTAAAGGTTTTGTATTTATAAATAAATTCTTGCATTTTTTCATCACTGCCATTTCAAGAGCATGTGCCTCTTAAAAATATATATTTATTTACAATAGCCTTACAAAATTCAGTCTTTTCTGAGAAATTCATTTAGTACAACGTGTGTTAAATAAACATTTTTATGGACACAAAAAAATGCTTGAAATTTTCCATTCGCCTTAATATCCATTCAAGATTTAAAGTAAAACAGAGAAGACTACTTCCGAGATGAAGTTTTGGAGAGATACATATTAAGTACCAGTCCGGAACTTAGATTCTACTAAGACATAATCTCTTCCTTTTCACTTGTAACTGCAAATTGAAATGAATTTTTCAATGTCATTTTGTGTGCTGAGTGGAAATGAATTTTCCCACTGTTAACAAGTGTCATTGATAAGTTTTTTGCTGTGTTGAGTTGAGATTTGAGTCAGAGTTGTCAAACAAGATGCTTTCGAGCTTTGGGATCATAATTCAATTTCTTGGTACACTTTGGGTGACTAAAGAAGGTGCTCAATCTATCCTATAAATTGGCCCAGGTTAAGCATTAAAAATGAATGTCGAAAACTTAAGTATGCAACCATTAAATAGCAACATCCTGTTTGACAACCCTGTCATTATGATTAGTTATCATGTTCTTACTCGTACTTTTATTACAAGCTTCATTATTACAAGAACGACTACTTGAAGTAGTCTCCATTATTAAACTGTACAATAATATGACATGAATGTACTTTTTTCTCTCCTGCAGATACATCCTTTCGCTGGCACTTGCAGATTTGCTAGTTATCGTCACAACAGTGCCCTTAACAAGTGTCATTTACATCTTAAACTCGTGGCCATGGGGTGAACCACTATGTATAATATCAGAATATTTTAAAGATTTGTCAATTGGCGTATCTGTATTCACCTTAACAGCACTAAGCGGTGACAGGTTTTTTGCAATTTGTGATCCATTACGTAAATTTCATTCTCATAGTGGGAAGCGAGCAACACGAATAACAATAATAATTGCTGTCTCAATATGGATACTTGCCGCATGCCTGGGCATACCAGCTTTACGAGGATCGTACATTAAAGTAATAATTCACAAAAAGTTTTAATATTTATTTTACATTTACTTATTGTTCCTTACGCCTTGCACTCTTGTTATTATATTCTAAGTTAATAAAACATGACATTAATGTTCGTTTTCTTCACGTAATGCTTGTGTAATTTACAGAAAATTGTCATTAACAGTGAGGTCATTAATATATGCTACCCATTTCCAGCGGAACTAGGAAAAGGCTACGCAAGATTGATTGTGACGTTTCGATTCTTGTGCTATTATGCAATACCATTATTTATAATTGGAATATTTTATGCGCTAATAGCTAAGCATCTAATTCATGCAGCGAGTCATGTTCCGGGTGAAAATTTTCAAGGTGTACAGAGACAGGTAATTAGTGCACTGCTGTATGTTTTTATTGTATTTGTTCAATTTATTTTGTTATCTTTAGCATGCAACGTGGATTAAATTTTATTTATTAAGTTGTTGTGTCTGTCCTGATTGCTGATAAGCTCTACTAGGAAATTTAGGTTATTAGTAGAGGATGATTGTGAGTGCTTGAGGGAATTTGAGTTTATTTAATGAAGAAATTTTAATTCCAAACCATAAAATATCATAAATCTTGAAAGCTTAATGAAAAATGCGCTCACTATCTTCATCCTCAATTAGTTCACAACTTGATATCCCCCAATCCAGTAATATTAATTTTTATCTTATCGAATTCCCGCCAACAAGTTATGATAAACCAAATGCTATTGAATATTTGCAATGAATGTACAAACAAATTCATTCATTAAACATGAGCAATTAGACCTTAACATTATTAATTGTTGTTAATTAACGACGAATAAAATCCCCTAATTGTGCATGATAACAACATCCAATGTATTGATTTTGATTTTTATTTGCTATCGTTGCGGAAGTACTTTATTTGTGTGTACAGAAAATAATTTGTTGCCTTGCATGCATGAATGGATTTCTTATTAGCTTTTAAGAACGTCCTTTTTCCCATTTATATTTCTAATGGCTATCCTTAAAAAAAGTGATATATTTATGTTTCACTCTCCCTCAACGCTACATGCTTATCTCGATCAGCAATCCCTAACTCTACTTGTGTTATTTAGTGCAGTATTTAGCCAATGTACATTAAGGTTCTTTTTTTGGGTTAAAGTTCAGTTCGTGAAAAATTTATGAAAAACCCTTTGGGCTAGTTACGCAAAATGTCACATTTTCTTCCTTCCTAAACCTCTCGTTTACGTCTATTTGTTTTCATTTTTATTCGACATGAAGCACAAAAACAAAGCTATATCGAGGAAAATAATATTTTTTTTTTGGTGCTCTTATTCTTTCGGTTCCAATGAAAAATGAGCTGATACTTTGCAACCCAAACATTTTATAATGTTTTCATTTTGTATTAAATGGAATAACAAGGGAGTTGTTAAATAATGGCTCAATATTTTCATAATGAAAAAAACTTTTTTGTCTCTAATTTTCACATCCACGATGAAATTGATGGAATTTTTTTAACAAATTAAGTTTTCAAGTCAGATGAGACTTTAAAGTTTCTATAGAATTCATAAGGTATCGTTCATAAATGACAACATAGACAAGACAGGATGGAACCTTAAGTCAATATTCTATGCTTCATCACAATATGGTACAATGATAAATCTATGACTGCATATCATTCCAGATGTAAATTCAATTTATCCAGAAAAATCCTTTAGTCACATCCCTAATTTAAAAAAAAAGTTGATCGAGTTCTTACGTTCCTTATCTCTTTTCATGTCTTCCTAACGTAACATAAAAGAAATTTAAATTCCCTAAAATAACACGTTTCAATTTGAGTATCAGATTTAACATTTTATTAAAACCTAAGGAAAAATATTTTTTATGCCTGAAAAAAAAAGGTTTAAATAAAAAATGTAAAAACATTTTAAAAAATAAAAAGAAAGCTTTTTCTCAAGCACATTGATCTGTTGTTTTACCGCACTTTGACTAACGGCATGTGAAGAAGGTATAGGAAGAGATACGTATTTTTCACTCGATTTAACAGATTCTTTCCTCATGTTATTGTTATTCATATCCTTGGGAATAAAGATTTTTTTTTTTTTGGAAGGTGTGTCTCATGAGCTTCCTTCAAAGGAAATAAAAAAGATTGTAAATATCATTTTGTCATTTGTTTTATTGGATTTGAAATTCAAATGAGAATATCCATTTCTTTATACATGAATCAAGTCGATAGATGTCAATAAACTAAGGTATTCAATATTTACCTTAATGCATTCTTACACATCTTACCAACAACAATGACAATGAATGTTTGTTGAAAAAATTAGCCTTGATTGAGGCACATAAGCATTTCATTTCCTCATGTGACAATGCTGCATCCTCTTCATAATAACTAAACCTTAGACCTTAAGCTAACAGCTCTCTCATGACTCATCGAAAAATTATCTTGCAAAAGGTCTGATAATTTATGAAAAAAGTCACTTGCACTAATGTCAAAATATCATGTATGAAATAATCACGTACGCAAACCTTGTTATCACGCATGGGACGTAATTGAAATGATCTTCATTTTTAATGCCTTCATGCCCGGAAAAAATCCACGCGTTTCAGCACTCAATGATGAGATTGAATGGGATCAAATTTCAATTATTTGTCAAATTAATTATTTAACAAGTTTCAGTTTCGTGCTCTGTAGTCCTTTGATCTTCTTATTTATTATATGAATTTCTTGTTTTTGTTGAGGCATGGGTTTGATGGATCTAACCAAAGTGATGTTGTTGGCTTGCTAGGGTGATTAAAGAGAACGATTCCTGAAAGTCATATATAAGAATAATTCGAAAGGAATCAATGCTAGTTTTGAGGCTAAATATTCCAATCCAAGTTCTTGCCTCCTCAAGATTAGATTATTTATTCCAGTTCCATTTCCTATTGCTTTTAGCATTTTAATTAAATCCTTTATAAATTAATAGAACTCCTTATCCATTTAATTCAAAGCGATAACTAGGCACGCGTATTTTCTTTCCAGCTTTTTAGTTCTGTTGCTTTTTGCCAGTTGTATTAAGCTAACGAGCTGCAAATGAAGCACAGCAACAATCTTGTTTATCTCCTTGCCAAATAATTTTAATTATTTTTCAAAACAAACTACAAATGCGCTATTTATTTAGATAAATCCAGCATGAAAGATTTACCTCTTTGTGCTGATTCAGCATAAATGTATTCAGGTACTCTCTGATGTTCAATCAAGCCGAAAGGAAAGAATCCTTTCATAAACATTTGCAATGATGCTTGAAAAGACCTGTGTTGCAGAAAAAATTTATTTGTACATTTATTTGCTTGTTGTTGTATATCCATTATTTTCATGGCATGCCTTCATCACCGGATGAGGCAAAGAAATCAACTCTAATGTAAAGCTTTCAGACATGTTTGCACATATTATGTAGTGTTCATGCCACGAGATTTTTTTCCCTTTCTTTTGTTCAAATACTTACTTTGCATATGATATTTGCAAAAAATAAATATATATAAATTTTTTCTGTATATCTATTTAGGTAAAGGCAAGGCGGAAAGTAGCTGTAACAGTTCTAGCATTTGTCGTGATATTCGGAATTTGCTTTCTACCCTCTCATCTTTTTATGCTCTGGTTTTATTTCAAGTAAGTAAATAAGGATACAGTCTTGAAATTACTTTCAGGGTTAAGACTAGATTTTTTATGAGCACTGTGACATTGTCCCAAAAGTTTTGTGGCTGAGAATTTTTTTTACTGACAACCATATTCAAATTGCTGCCAGTCTACTTTTAATTGACTGTAAATTTAAAACTTCTGACCCGAAAGTTGTGCAAAACTTAATGAACTGTTTGGTTTCTAGATCTGTATCTTGTTTGTGGTTCTACTATAAGAGCCTCTAGATTCTAGATTGTAGGCTATCTGCTGTTTTATTTAAAAGTTTTACAGCCTACAGAAGCTATTAAAAAACATTTTTTGTTTATGAAAACTTAAACTTATTCAACTATGCTCAACATTCAGAAAGGTTGTAAAAGGCATCATTAGTAGATAGAATTAAGCATAGTGCTGTCAAAACAATGAAAGTGCCCACACCTTGTTTTCCATTCTCATTACAACATTATACTCTTGTTGTTGAGCATGAAAAATGTCATATTGACTCGAGTGTGCATACATAACACCTTTAGACAGTATGAGTTATGGAACAACATACACATTTCATGGGGAAGCACAGTAATGAAATCCACTTTTGTCGCTTCCCATAAGACGCAATATATTTAAAAGGGAGACACCTAAATACAGAAAAAATAAAGTATGATAATAATTCTCGGGGTTGTTAAAGTACATTTTATTACACGTGTATTAAATGTGTACATATATACGGACCAGTGAGAATGTTGATATAATGGTGATGATGGAGTACTATACAAACATTAGACGAAGGAGGAAAGAAGCAGAAAAGCTAACAAAAATTTTTTTTTCATCACATAATTTCTTGGTTTATGAAAAATGTCCACAATTTGAGTGAGTGAACATAAACAACTCGGGTCGAGTAAAAGTTTGTCCCTTTCGCTCAATCTTTTGGGATTGGTATATCGCAGTGCTTAATTCAGCATAACACATATTGCTGATGAAATATTGTCCAAAGCCTCCCTTCCACCAATTTTTGTTTATTTACTTTTTTTATTGCAATTCTTCATTTCAATTTTTTTTTCGTCCTTTTTTTTACTTTTTACAGTGACAATGCAGAAGAGGATTATAATGACTTTTGGCACATATTACGAATGGTCGGATTCTGTTTATCATTCGCCAACAGTTGTACAAATCCTGTAGCGTTATATTGTGTCAGTGATGCCTTCCGAAAACATTTTAATAGGTGAGCGTTGGTGTATGTTCCTTTATGGAAACTTAATTTACCGTCATTATATAGTCATTTACAGCCTGTGATGTTAAATTCAATTACATTACATTTCCTTTCTGTTCTTTATTCAATGGCACAATGCTTTCTGTTTACGTCATTACAGATACTTGCTGTGTAGAAGTTCAGCCTTGTCTCGTCATATGACGTACGATAAAACACATCGAGAGATGACCATTACAAGTCAGTCTACAATTTATAGGCGATATCCCTCTAAAAGGTTCGCAAATCAAAGTATCAAAAGGTAAGGAGGTATGGCAAACATTAAATTTTTCTTTTATTTTATGTTCAATCCAATTCCTTATACCTTTACAATTAATCTCAAATCCAGCATTTAACATGATTCCATAGCATGTATGTACATGGAAAATGACAATGTGATTGGATTATCTGTTTATTGCTGTATTGTAAAACCAAAAAATGCAATTCATTGTGCTAACATTGTATTTTAATTGCTTAGCCATGAGGAAGCTTTAGAATCCAAAAATTGGACATGTAAATTTGTTCATTTCATTTTATTTTTGAGTGACAGTAAGATAAAAGAGATTTGTTGGATTGGTCATTAGCCTACATGCTGCATATCTGAATCTCTAACAACAAAATTTTGGTAATTGGGTTTTTCAGCTCAGCTGCTTAGCAAGGCTTTGTGAATCACCCTACCAAGTGAATCTTTAACTCTATCGTAAATGACTACCAAAAATGGTTTGCACTCCAAAGACCAATTAAGTTCCACAATGTCATGATGTATTGCTTTAGATACCAAACCTTGCCAAAAAACAGAGCTTTAACTCCTCATCATATGTCAAACCTCCCTAAATGATATCCTTCGACTGTTTTTAGTCATCAACTTCCTCTTTCTTCATATTTCTCGACATTTGCTATGGCTAAGCCCAAAAAACTTATGACTTTTATATCAACAAACAAGAATTAAATGGCCACATAACTCTTTATCTTCTTATTCTGTTTTGTCTTCATGAATAGTTGCAAAAACTAACATCTCTATAATAGCCGAGAGTCCAATTTTGTTGTCTAGCAACCGTTTATTTTTGTTCGTTCACTTCCGGAAGAATTGTTGTGGCATTTTTGATGATGACAGCAATAAATGGAATAATTATTGTGGCTATAAATTTTTTTTTTCAAGACTTCGGAATGTTTGGATCAACTGGGCATGTCTTGTTGCTTCTGAAAACACATTTTTTGGCATAAAATCGATTGAATTTTTAAACAATAAACTGACTTTCAATATGTATGCAGGTGCTCGAGAGTCCTAAATTGTAATTTTACACCCTCATAAAAAATGCGTTAAAGTCACTGGATTATTAACGTCTTCCTAATATTTTTCTCCAATTTATATGACAGCATGTAACATAAAGTAAAATTACATTCGTTCCATTTAAAATAATGGAATGAAGCTTTAAAGGTTTTTCTACTTCTTTTTTTGTGATGTAAAATAAAAAGAGTATGCTATCTACGATCTAAAGGAAATGCTTTTACAATGAATATATGAAGATACAGCTGTATAAGATCAGTTGTTGCTATCTATCTTAAAAGAGGAATGTCTTTTGCTTCTTTTTAGACGAAATTTATTTATTTGGAAGTTGTAGATACTATGAGTTGCCCGATGACTATAGGATTTTAATATTGGAAAAAAGCAATTTAAATCTCTTTCTGTATTTGAGTGCTGTTGACAATTCCAAAAAAAAAAAAATAATTTGTCAAAAAATAAGAATTTCTTAAAAAGTAAATTTATGCAAAAGCTTCAAAGGATAATTTATATTCGGTATTCAGTAAGCAAGCGAGATGCTTATGAAATATCAAAGAATATTTTGATTTCTTCAAAAGCACTTCCTTGAAAATTATTGAAATCATTATTTGTGTTTTTAAGCTGCTGCTTTTCTGCGAAATTGATTTCAATTTTTTTAACGAAAAAGACTTTTATTATATTTGGATGTTAAGCTCCTGATTTGATAGGTTCTTAAGCTCACATCTAAAGCTATCAATCAGAATCCTGAGTTATATGAAATATTTGTTTCCTGAATAATGAAAGAAAATATGTTCAAAATCATGATGAACATACTTCATTTCCAAAGAAGTCTGTTGACATTCTTAACATTAAACCCGGAAGACACCGCATTAGTTTCTCAGAATAATTTCCCAGTTAAAGCATGCAGAGTATATTAACAACGTTGAACTGTCATTTACAGTTTCATGTCGTTTATTTATCTTATCTTGATGTGAATAGCTGTGATTCCTGCTCATATATGGAGCAACCATGATATTTGTAAATATCAATTCTCCTTGAATAAATAAGTAGTTCCTGTTAGATAAATAGATTGTGGAGTTCCCGCATAATATTCATATCACAAAATGAAGCTTTGAAAAATGAACGAGAAATGGAATTTCATTTCAGCTCAAGGAAACTTTATTCCATAACCATATGACAGCAAACAGTGTCACATGTATCTAAAATACATAATCTCGATTTATGAAAAGATTGGAATCTATATAAAATTTATGTATAGAAGAATGGAAATAGTTATTTACGTGAAATAAAACAGAGATTCTCGTAATATTTCGAATTTCTTTTATGTTCTATTCTTCTTGTTTAAATAACATTCACATTTGAGATACTTCCATCAGAATTTCAAAGATATAGACATGCAGAATATTTTTTATGGCAGATACGAGTGCGAAACAATTTAGAGGAAATTTTTGTAGAGCATAAAAAACTTTATCAAAGGATATGAAAAAAGCTCTTAAAAATTCATAAGTAGTTTCAATTCTTTGTTGCTTAAAGCAGCTATAAATGTGTATAAGATCGTTCCAATGACGTAGCATAGTTAAGAGAGAATTGAAGATTTTTAAATTTTCTGTTCCCAATATCTACTGTACCAAGCTTCTAACCTCATTCCTCAATAAGAAATATCAATTTCAAACCTAAAGAGATTTAAGAATTCAATAACAGAAAATTCTGATTTCAATTGTGATATTTCAACTTCTTAGATATCAATTTATTTATATTCTATCGCCTAAAGTCGTCTTTCATTGCCGAAAATTCAGACTGATTATTTTCAAGTAAATGGATACAAACGAACCATAGTACAGACAATAATGATTTTTATCTCTCTGAAAAGATACGATAACAATTCACAAAGGAGCAAAAAGATGAAGAAATTCTCTTCTGTAAGCAATCTTTCTTCCCATTCATACCAAATTTATTTCCATACTTCAAAGAAGAATTAAGAAATTTGTTTTCAAAACGGCCCTTGAATGTTCATTTCTTCTTTGAGGATTGTTACAATTTGTTTTGTGATAAAATTTGAATGGCAGTTCCTTTTATTTAATTTGTACCTCCGAAAAAATTTATGAAGTTAAACAATTCTTTTTTGAATTGCAAACATTTATCACATCCTTTTGTACCTTTTTGAGCTATTTTACTTAATGAAAGAAGATGATGATAATATTTCATCTTGTAGTCCACCTACGCAATATGCTGTATTATTTATTTGAAGATACTTTATGTAAGGCTGTGTGAGAATATTTTCTAGTCAATTAAATTCGTATTTCAGCACTTGATCTTATCATCGCAACTGAAAAAAGATTGAAAAGTTTTGTACTTGAGAATTTGGCAATATATCTTTGGGACGGCTTCTAAAGCTGCTAGTTATAAATAAAATTTAACTGAGACTGAAATTGGATGTCTCTTTGTTTGCTTCTGAATCCTTAATCAATTTTCTTATTCCTAGATGCTTTAAAAAGCGCTTTTAAGCATGTCATTCGTGACTAGAATTGAAAGATTTGCAAACCTATTCTAAACTTCTTATCCCTTAACTTTGTTCTATCATTTCTCTTTAAAGCACAAGCAGAGCAGCCGAAACTACAGTGATTATCCTTCAAGATATTGGAGATGAGAATAACGGCTTGATTGATCACGAAAAGATGAGCTGTATGTAAAGAAAAAGAAAGTATTCATTCATGCATTTATGGAAGGACGAAAAAGTGATTGAATAGTAAATGTGACAAAGCATGGGACGACGAATGACCGGAAAGGAACAAAATAAGGAACATTATTAGAAAATTTGATCGATGTGATGTGATTCTATTGAAGAATTTTTATGAAGAGTAATTCAATATTGAATTGAATATATCGAATTTTTTTCTCAGTCTATTTCCCTCCCCACTCCCCAACACACCCTCCTAAAAAAAATTGAAAATGTATAGTAAGTAGTTGGAAATTTGATGTAGATAATGAAAAAGAAATTTAAATTTATTTGTAAATAAATGGAGAAAACATTTAAATGCCAACATTGAGCTTATTTGTTTGCGTATTTTCATTTTTATGTGCCTTTTTTACTTTCAGTTTCTTTTGTGCTGACGATATTGATTACAAATTACGTAAGGATTCTTTTATGGATTTCGATTTTACTCTTATTGATGAACTTGAAAAAGTTGTGAGCTTTTCTTTTTCCTACTAGCTTTCCTAATCATCATTTGTGAGTGATTAATGGTAATGCTGATTATTTTGAGAACTTCCAGGCGAGATATTTGGTCTATCTCGTTATCTTGGTGTTTAAGATTAGCAAAAGCTTTTGAAAGTAGCTCTATTTTAGGGGTTTGGATTGGTATTCGTTCTCTTAATTCTTTCAAAGCCCTCCTTCCATGTTTCTGTAAAGGTCTGTCATTAACTCGACTCTTTTAGGGGCTATTCACTTATTACGTAACGCTTTTAGGGGGAGGGGGGGGTCTAAGATTTTGTTACGGTTCAAACAAGGAAATTTTTTTTTCATACAAATTTTGTTACGAGGGGGGGGGGGGGGGGGTTCTAAAAAGTCATTTTTTCGCGTTACGTAATAAGTGAACAGCCCCTTAGTCAATAAACATTTATTCGACCATTAAATCATGGAAGTTCAGGACTAATTATCCTCATGTCCTACTTTACTCTTCAATGATTATTTCTAAAGTAAATTCCAAATATAAAAAGCTATGTGTAGTAAGCACTTACAATCTATCATTATTGTATTTCAATATACAATGCGAAACATGAGTTAATGCAATTTTTATTATGTTCTATTCATTAACACTCGATTGACGCCACATTATTACACAATAATTCTATCCGTTTCACATATTTACTCAATAATATTTACAGTCCACAATATCTATCAATTTTTACTCTTTAGACTCTCATTTTCATCATTCACACTAACAATTTCCATCATCATCGTCAATGTTCATTCTAATAACCTTCATATTGCTTTATTAAGTTGGAAAGGATGTAGCAAATGTGTATCTATAGCAAGTGTGAGAAAATACATATTATTAATGTCAACAAATGTAGATTGAAAAACATTCAATTGTATAAATGTGATGACATTGAAGACGTAACTCTCATCTTCCATCCAAAAACATATTTCATTTCTTGTTATGCGAATTTATTATAATTTGATGGAAATGGAATGTAAACATTCTCTAAATTCAGTGCTTCAGTTTTCATAAGCAAATACATAATTTTTTTTTTCAAATTAGAAATCCTAATCGTTTGATTATTTTTCAAATCTCAAGTCTATTCCTTAAGCTTATTTCAATTCTACTTTATCGCATATGTATAAAGCTTATTTGCGAAAAGAAAAAAAAATAAAAACCTTTTCTTGACGATGCAGTAAAAATAAATGGAATGATGATATTTGTTGAAGCTTGTGCATTAAAATTTCAAATTTAAAACAAAAAAGAATTTTCATGATTGAAGTGTTTTTGATGAATTTCTTTGAAAAGAGGTTTAGTATTTAAATTCGATATTAGAATTTGGATGGAACATGTTTCAATCATCTAAAAATAAGAAATAACAAGGACAGAGGATTTGTGAAAAGAAAGAATCAATTGTCTTGTTGCTTAGCAAATTTTTACATAATATTGAATTACCTTTTTGGTTTTTCGGATCTAATCCTACACTTTTCTATCTCAAACTTTAAACAAAAAGTTTATAAATTTTCTTCATATTAGCTCAAAAGGATTCTAACCTTGAAAAAACTTCAAAAAAATAGAAATATTAAACCATTAAGGAAAGGTCATATGTAACTTCAGTAAAAAGATGAAAAATGGTTTAGAAGGTTGGCAAAAACACCTGTTTTAATACTACATAATGAACATCAATTAGTCTGAATTTAGTATCCATTCCTTTGCATTAAAGCAAATAATTTATGGCAATTTGACAAAAACTGTTCCTTTATAAACTTTTATAACATAATTTCAAGGAAATTTCTGTCTTCGATATCAAAATAGTCGAAAATTTCTGCACCTTAAACATTAAACATCATTGATTAAGGAGCTAGTAGCACAAATTGAGCATTAATTTAAAATCTAATGAAATGGAATTTCTCAATAATGAAGAAAAATTGAAACCCATCAAATGAAATTAAAAAAAATATTGAAAAATTGCTTTGTTGCTTAGTGATGAGCAAAACGTTGCCTGAAAAATCACTACAAATCTTCTTTAAGGAACAATTTAAGCAACTTTCCAAAATACGGAAAAAAATATCTCACGAAAAAATCTTGCAAAAAAGTTTAAAGCCAACTTGACATTTTATTTTTGATATCCAAACATGTTGACTTCGTTGCCTTATATTTACAGCAGCATCATTCAGTGTCTATACGCAGCATAATCAATAAAGTATTATGTCATTTGCCAAGAAAATGTTTGGAAACAAATTGCACGTCGACTCGTGAAGTTTGGAAATCAATCTCAAAGATCTACCTATCAATTTTCAATATTCTTCCTTAACAAAACATCAAACTGAGATAAGACGCTTGTGCATGCTTCATTTATAAAATTTTGATTTATGAAGAATAATTTCGCTTTCGTTATGAAAACATTTTATTAAGGAATTTGGAATTTTCAGAGGAATTTAATCATTATTTTATTCGTAGCTTATTCTTAAAGATTTACACCGTATTGCTTTAATTTCTTTAAACACAACACAAAATGCTAAATTTCCTCTTTTTGGATTATAGATATGTAGTTCGTGACGACATTATATTAATTTATTTTGCTTTTGTGGGTAAAAAGCAGTAAAAAGGTAAATTCGACATTGTCTGTACAAATTTTTGTAGTCTATGGTGTTACTTCAACTATATGTATGCTCACATTCATAGATGAATGTGGAAATTTTCTATTAAAGTGATAAGAGCATGCCTACAAATAAAGCATTTTAGGTTTGAAATGAAGTATTTCGGTAGGCTTAAGCGCATTTAACCTCCTTTTTTAAATCTTTCTATTTTTAAAGTTTAAAAGATTTATCATAAAAATTTGAATTTAAATAGATTTTAAAATTTCAAACTTTAACGGGTTTTAAAAATTTCAAATTACAACGAACAAGCCTTAAATTTGAAATTTTGAAAACCGTTAAATCTTAATAATTCCAATCTCGCAAATCTTCAATAAAGAAGATCAAAAAATCAAAAGATAAAGTAAATCTCATTCTTTTCTTTACTCTCATACCCAAAATCCACCCAGCAGCCAAAATAAATTGCATTTTGTTTCATTCTTGTAAAAGTAACCCCCGAAAGAAAAACCAAGAATTGCGGAGATTGAATAAAGCCAACATGCGTGAATAGTATTAGTTTGATCTTGATTACGAGACCTCATTACAAGCATCTCATAAAATGTATCTTTTTATTTCAGATTGAATAGGACAATCATTTTTATTTTTGATTATCCAACGTCATGAAGCTTGAAAAGGCTTTCATATTTGCCAAACGTGCGAATGGTGTGATGAATCATTAATGTCTGTGTGTGTATATATATATATATAGTAAAATTAGAGGATACTTTCAGTGATGATACACATTTGATGCTTTTTACGTCCTCATGTTTTATTTCCTTTCATTATGACAAGCATGACTGAAAGGTTCACATCCAAAAATGTGTCCAAACATAAACTGGAATTTTTAAAGCGAAAAATTGCGAACAGGAAAATTGAAATAAAATAATTTAATTTATGTCTTATTTGAGCGCGCTGTAAAACTTTTTTTGTGTGTGTCTTGTTGGGGGTTGTTTGGATGTTCTGTGATAATTTATGCCCATGCTATATTTTGCCCCTGCTATTCTGCCTTAAAGTTCTAACAAAGAGCAACGACTTTTCAATTAAATTTATGTTTGGAGTTACATGACATCCAAACTACCCCCCTTGCTCTCCTCTACATTGATTTTACAGCGCAATGCATAATATGTTTCGTGATTTTAATGCTGTTCAGCTGATTATGATAAACTGAAAATGTTTTCCCTATTGCATTACATATGGACGTGTAAATGAAAAAGTTTGCCATAATTGTAGCAGCACAGCAGCAGCAAAAAAAATTAATAAAACTTTTTACAACTTTTTATAATCATCAAAAATATGAAAACAAAAGCGCAACTCGTCATTCAATTTAATTGGAATAAAGAGATAGGGTATGAGTGGATTAATAAAATTTTATTTGACACTAGCTTCAATGTTGCTAGATCCCTCAAAAAGAAATAATAAACGAGAACCTCATTAAACGGTTATGGCATTTTAATCACAGTTACTTTAAAAAGCTCTCATTCTAGATGGGGTGAAATTTTCTAAAATAATTGGAAAAGTTTCCTGTTGTGCTGTTAAACCCATCAAATTGGTCGATGACTAATTTTAAAACATTTTTCAGTTATTGAACGCCTTTTGCTCCAAATTGTATCAATCGGAATAATTGCTGATGCTGCTATCTGAGCTTGTATCAATGAAATCGTACGGGTTAAGCCATATAAGTCTGAAACGAGTTAAAGAGTTTAAAAATTGTGGATCTGATGTTTATTTGAGGAGAAAATTTAATAAATGATTTCTTTTTGGTAAAGATTTTGCTGGATTTTACTTCTCCATTACGGAAGTTATCAACGTTGGCGTAGCAAAGGAACTCAAAGGCAATAGAAATTTATTGTTTTATATGATTCAGCATTCGTTGGATCTTTTGAAATGTTTATGAATGGAATCAATCTTTTCAAACTTGGAATTAACAAAAAAATGAGTTTAAACCTTGTCTGGAACTTCAATTGGTAATTTCTAGAGTCATAAATATTCTCAATTTGTGGATATGAATAGGGCTTTTAATTGATTGACAAGTTTCATTCCATTTTTCGACATAAGCCATCCATTAGCATCCATTAGTCGGATTTGTTTATATTTTTAAAAATAACCTCTCTTAAAATGTCTACAGAATCAACTAAAGCTGTTAAC